GAGCGTTACAATGTGTACACACGTGACCCTCCCCCACAGTCCGCCAGCCGCCCCCCCCCCCCCCTCCCTCTCAAGCCAACCACGGGAGGACGGCCTCCGTTCTGATTGGGCGGTTGCTTTCAAGAGGAGCGGGGCGTTATGAGGAGACCGAAGTGGAACCGCAGACACAGTCCTCGTACACACGCACGCGCACCAACGCGCGTGCACACACAAATATACTCTTGCTGAAAAAAGGACATTGGACCCCCGTACATTCGCGGTTCCGCATCCCCATTCTCTCTCTCTCTCTCTAGGCAGGGTGTCCATAAAAGTAACTTTACAATTTATTTAAAAAAAAACATGACAAAGGCAGATTTGTTTTATTTTAATCAGTGTACTGTATATCGGAAGTTTTTATTCACAATAAAGGTTTGTGTTTCGGATACTCTGTTGATAGAAGGGAAACTGAACCAAGTGGCTCCTCCTCATGCATGAATCCTCCAATTCATGCATTGTACATGAAATTTATGAAGAGAGGGACAGTTTTGGCTAAAGGGAGTTTATTTATGACACCCTGAACTGGTTGCCACACACACACACACACACACACACACACACACACACACACACACACACACACACACACACACACACATATAACTGCGACATTGTGCATAGCTGATGGTGAAGTTCAGCTGCATTATCTTCATGATCTCTCTCGGTGATAACGACAAACCTGTCATAACTCACAACCTATTTGTTTTAAGGTTGGAGGATGCTGAAGCTTTAATTCGCCAATCTTCTTATCGGGAGGATTGATGGAACTGCTTTATGTGTCGGCGTGGGTTTTAGGGTGAGCTCGCGTGACACTCGCTGTAAGGCAACCAGGTGTTTATCTCATTGAACGGTGATTAAACATACAGTAATGTGATGAGCAAGACAGTACGAGGCTTATCCCGGTGACGCCGTGTCATCAGTTTGTGAGTAAAGAGTCGATGATAAGAAATAATCAACATACCGAGCTTCATTCCTAACTGATAAATCACTCGGGTTTGTCATCGCAATTTATTGTAAAATCGATTCAGATAAGGAGTATAGAAAATGGATCAAAGCTGGCGAGGAGACCGCTTGTTAATGTTAACATGTCTTGAGGACAAAAATCACACTTGAGCCGCAAATCAAGCACTAAAAATCTGTCCCTATTTTTAGACGGCTTAGCAGTGCAGCAAGGTGTTGCTTACAAACTTTTAAGGCTGCATGACGACACGCTAGCTTGTTTACAAATGGAAATCTATGCTCCGTCTGCCCCCGAGATGCACGTCAGGTGTTTGTGTAATTACTTTGGCACCAGATGGCCAGCGACACATAAAGCGAGTCCTAACGACTCGACTGATGCGTTTGTGGCCGCGATGCACATGAGGTCGGTCTTGTCAGATTAGCACCTCTGAGCCGATTCCGGAAGAAAGTCATGGACGCTTGCCAACCAAATCAGCAGACTCGCATCGTTGTGACTTGTGACTTTTTAATAACAAGGGTAGCACAGATGCGGCCACTAAGACGAGGCAGTGGAGCACACCACCGTGCTTGTGTGTCGTATGCCCCGCACATGCCTTTAAGCTCAGAGGCCGGGGGGGTGCACATTAAGCTCATTAAGTCTGTGATGGAGATTACGGTGCGTTTAGGCACCAGACACCAACGTTCAGTGCCTGGCCATGGGGACATGTCAGATTCCGGCTAAAAAGAAGCAGTTACTATTGAGTTAGACTGACCGTCGGAAACGGTTGGCTTTGCATCGGGACGGGAATTGAAGTAGGTTACATTTTGAGACATGATTTTGCGATGCAATAAGATGCCGGATATCACATGAGCAAGCACATGAACAAAAACAAGCTATATATACAGTTACCCTTTCACCTTTTTAAAAGGGGGGGGGGGGGTTCCAGGAAAAAGACTTCCCTTAAGGTAAAAATGTTTTTGTGGTCAGCATATGCACTGTTGATTGTATGTCTTGTGGTCTGGGACATAACTGTATGTCGGATGTTGTGGAAAAACAAAAAACAGGCCCTACAGCCAGGATCAACAATAAATAAGATGATGTCTTCTTATCTGATGCTTTGAAGAGAGTTTTGATGATGAAATTTAATATTCCCCCTCCGATCTGTATCATTCCCCCAGAAAGATCCATTAACTTCTATGCTTCTGCAGAGCGACGCTATGAATATCTGTCAAGTATCTTTTATCTTGACCAACAACCTCTTTCCCTGTTTACCCTCAAATAAGTAGTACGAGGTTACATATTAAATCCAAAAGTGAATTCAAAGTACCGTAATGAAGGGTGATCATTTATGCAATTTTCCCCAAACAATGTTGGAGCACTTTGAAGAGAGTTGATTAATAAAAGGTTATAAAACCTTCCCATGATTTCAGAGAATTTCAAAATGGACTCAAGTCAATTTCCTGGAGATTTACTCTTGATCCTTGCCCTGCTTGAATGCGAAACCAAGTCATTCGCTGAAAGAGGGTAGGATTTTGGTTATGAAACATCACCAGTCGCTCCACAATTGTCATGGCGATAGCTACGGTAGACCTCAGAGGTCCGCTCTCTGCCCCGCGGGGTTTTCTTTGCTCATATTCAATTTCAAAAGTGTCCATAGAACTTTATACAAAAAAAAAAAAACAATCTCTTCTGATACAGAAGATATAAAATATTATTCTAAGTTGAAAATTCTCCCCAAGACTTCAATTACTTATATAAACCACACCCCCATAAAATTAAAATATTGTATGTTGTATGTGGTTACACAGAGAGGCCTGCATAGTTGAATTGAATTCCTGGAAGAAGTGACGAGGACAAGATCAGCTGGTGGCGGGCAGATTCAAAGGGGCGATGCCATGCTTGCTGAGATGTGCTGTAGGCACAAAAACATGCATCCGGCACCATTATTCAATTCCAAGAAAATATTTTTTGGTGTAATCTGACATGAAACATCTTACACAAGGTAAAAGCTGCAGTCTTGGTCAGCTGTTGTCTTTGGTCAAAGCTGCCCAGTAGTCTGGGCCCCGGCCGGGGTCAGTAGTTGCCAAATCCTCTTGTACCTAATCCACTTATGGGGTTACGGCGTTTGCATCGTTGAAAAAAAATACGACATGATATTTTCAGTTAAGTCACAGTGAGAGTTTGTGGCCCTGAGGAATGCTGAGTGCTTAAACAACAGCAGAAGCCCCCATGAGCAATTATTGTAACGATCTCGTAGCTTCTTGCCAAACAGTCAACTCTTTCCATGCTGGAGAGCTACAAGTCTTTTTTTTTTTTTCCCTCCCAGATTTCCCCAAATATTTTCAACGGGATTTAGGTCAGGGTGCATTGTTTCCATTTGTATGCGCTGCTGCTTGTGGGCTTTGAGTCATGACGCTAGTCTTAGGAGCCAAAGATCTTGCCCCCCACCCCCACCCCTTACCCTTCCCCTTCTTCCTCGAAATGTTGCTTGTTGACACTGGGTAACATTATTTTGCCTCCTGTGATTTCAGAATGTCTTTGATGCAGGAAAGGGCCTCCAGCCCCACAAAGCAGTTTCACAGCATGATAGCACCTCCATGTGTTACTTCTCAAAGACTGTTCGTTCCCTACTACCGTGGACACGAAAGGTCACGCACGGATGTTTTGTGCCCTCGTGGGCTTCACCGGGTGGTGCCTTCCCAGTTCGACCACAAATCCTCCCTAATAAACCCCGTGAAGGGAGTTTTGGTGCGCTTTTGGCGCAGTAACGCTGCACGCATTCGCCATGCTCGGACATATTTTCACATATGGCTTCACGACCTGAAAGTGACCTTGTCACTTCTTTTCAGGTCTTTCCTTTTGTTTCAGGTGACAATTGCATTGATTAAATGTTTAGGTGGCGCCACTGGTTGAGCATGAACAAGAAAACCTGCCTCGAACCCGCCTCTTCCAGTTGCGCTGGGGCCAGAAAAGTAAAAGGTGCTATTTTAACCCTTTCATGCACCCTGTAACCTGATAACAGGATTAGCTGTCCCTCAAAGGGTTAAATGGTATCTGGGGACTGCCGTGCTCTACTGTCATGTTCTTATCTTATGTAATACAATTATTATTCAGGATGTTCATAGTTAAAATGTCTTCGTCAGACCCGCCAATGAAGCCGATGCTATCGTCAAGCAACCCGTCACAAACTGCTGAATCGGGGTGAATTTGAGACCTTGTGTACTGTATGGAGGGCGGCCCAGTGGCCCAGTGGTTAGCGCGTCAACCTCACAGTGCAGAGGTTCAATTCCAGCTCCGTCCGACCTCCCTGTGTGGAGTTTGCATGTTCTCCCCGGGCTTGCGTGGGTTTTCTCCGGGTACTCCGGTTTCCTCCCACATTCCAATAACATGCATGGCAAGCTGATTGAACACTCCAAATTGTCCCGAAGTGCAAGTGTGAGCACGGATGGTCGTTTGTCTCTGTGTGCCCTGCGACTGGCTGGCAACCGGTTCAGGGTGTCCCCCGCCTACTGCCCGAAGACAGCTGGGATAGGCTCCAGCACCCCCCCGCGACCTTTGTGAGGATAAGCGGATCGGAAAATGGATGGATGGAAGTATTTGCCACCTCGTATTGGGACTGGCTTGTCCGATATGACATGATGAAAGCATCGCCTTGTGAGATCAGCAGTGCCTGACCACAAGGTGTGATCACCAAAACCAGTTTTAACCTTCTGCATCGCCAAATGTTAGCTCTACTCTTTTACGGTTACACAAAACCAAGCCTTTCGCCTACCACCAGATTTATTCTGCAATGAACATGAACCAAGATTATTCCGCCGTGTGGTTCCCCGGCGCATGGATGCCATCCGGACGCCGACGTGCAGATCTAAGAGGGATTAGTGGGCTGTTTTGGTGGATGGACTCAAACAGTGGGAGGCTAACCACACACAGCTGTGTACTTGGGCCTTTCATAACGCTCCGGCTTCTCTGCCCCCCCGCTTCGTCTTTGGCTCGGACCCTCCGGTCACCTTCCCCTCCCACTGACCTCAGAGTTCACAAAGCTCGCCGGCTGCAGACAGCAGGAAGCGGGAACGTTTCTTTGGCCGCTCCATGCCGGACCCCTGGAGAAGGACCGCCGTCTCCAGATTGGGGCTGAAATGACATCACGCATAATATATGATCATATAACATATCAGACCTGTCTGGTCTTGTCTTTTTTTTCAAGACTGAGTTTTCTATTATTGTCTGTAACGACAGTGATTTTGATGGATCAGTCGATGTAAATACATGCAGCTACATCGTCAGACATGTCTGGTTTTGTTTTTTTGGTTTTTTTTAAGAGTTTGTACATAGCCTTTCATTCTTTACCAACAGCAAATTTGATGGATCCAATTACATAGTTCAGACCTTTCTAGTCTTGCTTTTCCTGAAGTGACTTTTTGTACTTGGCCTTTTCATTCTTTATTGACAACGAATTTGATGATGTGTACCCATTGTTATGCCAGAAATGGTTTTTTTTTTTTGCTTTTTTCTTTACAGGTTTTTTTTTTTTGTTTGTCTTTCATTCTTGAACCAAAATTGATTTTGACGGATCTCGCAAGAAAGTACATGTATACACCCCATGTTTGAACTGGCTCGTGTGTAACTGCATGCAGATACACCACATCAGACTCATCTAGTCTTTTTTTTTTTTTTTGACTGAGTTTTTGAACTTGGCCAAATGGACTACAGAACATGAAGACAAATTTTCCCAGCCCATTACAATTATTTTAACAAAAACAATCGATTATCATCTTCATGAGGGCTGATTTTTTTTTTTTCATGTAACGCTTGTGTGGTCATATATTTTTGGTAAATTGTACGTGGTCAAAGTTCCTTAGCCTGTGATTGATTTTTTTTTTTTTCTAATGGAAAACAATCCTGAAAGGACTGGCTGGAAATGTCCAAGCCTTTATTCAGTGCCATCACAAAATTTATGAAAGTTCGGAAAGCCGCGTCATCCATCATGCGTCACACAGTGAACATTTGTCACATTCTTGGCATACGATGTGGAACTGTTGACAGCTGCGTTGCCACTTTGCTTTGAAGCGGGACCAACAAACGTTTAATTATCTCCTGCTCGGATTGGTTGATGAATCACCAATTTGAGATGGTATACAATGTTGTGATTTTATGGCACTCATTAGATAGTCAGATGAACCTAATATGGTTGGTAAATGTGGATCAGACCCATCTAGTACATTTTTTTTTTGCTTTGCTTCGTTTTTGTACTTCCTTTCAACATTGCATTGACAGTAAATTTGACGGTTGGGAGAAAAGTGCAAGCGTTCCGAATGCCTCATCGCCCCACACCTGCAGCAGACACATTGGACAGAGTGCCTCTCTTTTTTTTTTTTTGCTCTTGTTTGATGTTGCAGTGAAGCCGCCCTCGAAAAAAAAAAAGTGCTTGGCTGTCAGCACACTGTGCTCTAGCGAGTCCGCAGCAGCCTGGGCATGTTTGTGTATGTACGGGTCTGTGTATATGCCCTGCATTTGCATGGCAGTCTCCGTATAAATGCTCTATCTGAAAAAAAAGGACCTTGTTTAGTCTGGAAACAGAAGTGATCCGTATAAGAGAGAGCAGCCAACAAACACCTTCAGTCAGCTGATGTTTTCCAGCTCCACCTTTCTTTTATTTTTATTTTTTTCAAGTAAGCTCACGCGCTCGTTCAAGGACGGCCGGGTAGTGGAATAGCTCATTACTTTTTCATGATACCCATCGTCTTTAATCAACATCAGAGAGTGACTTTCGACACTTTCTGTCGAAAGTCACTCTCTCCCCCCCTACCCCAACCCGGAGCTTTATCTCGTTAAAAGTCTTCTTGCTTGCCCTGTGCCAGATTAAATACAGTGTGCTTCTGCTGAACTTCCTCTAATGCCTTCCAGTAAGAAAGAAAAAAAAAAAAACGCTAGCCTTCCAAACTCCACTAACACCAGGCCCTTTTTTTGAATGGATGTGAAAGAGAAAGGAAAAACAATGACTATTTTGTGCACTGCTTGTTCCGTGACGGAGCACAACTGCTGAGGTCATCATGAGAAGTAAGTTTGTGCATGTTTGAATGGACTGTACAAGTCTCACTGGCTAGTGAGTAGATAATCACTGCCTGGTCCGCTAGCTTAATGCTAACATGTTCTGACAAATAGAGCCTATGTGGCAGTGTTTGAACAAAAATGGTGGACCAACACATGTAGACATACAGCAATACTCACAGGCATGGCATGTATTTTTCGTCCTTTGTGTTGAACGACTACTTTTATGAGAACAACTTGGATGTCAAAGGTCAGGTTATCACACTGGTGATTAACATGTAGCCACATAAAGGGTTGTAGCACAATGTAGGTTTCAAAACGTAGAAATAACCAAGGAGAACTGAACATTGTGCAGGTGTCCCAAATGTTGTGACCGATGGGTGAATGTCCTCAAAAGGAAGGAAGTGCGAGGAAGCCTTTGAAGGAGAACAAAGAGCTCCTGGACTCATGATGATGTGTGCGCCCGAGTTCTGAGAATGCTGGGAAAGACTGCGGGCCTCCTGAGTGTGGAGAATTGAATTGGGGAACCTGCGCTTGTTCAAGGGAGCGGAAGACAGCAGGGGGGGAAAATGTCAACGATCTTTCTGGGCAATAAACAGGACATGCATCTTACGCCCGATGGATACCAGTGACCTCTGGTCCTCATTGAGTTTACAGCCAGGAATCTTGGCTTCTTCTTCTTCTTCTTCGGCTGACGTAAAGAAAAAAAAAAAAAACACCTTACAAGTTCAGAGAAAGAAAGATGAAAAAGCACAGATCAGCCCTCCAAGTGTCATGTCTTTGTCTTGTTTTTTCCTTTCAGGAAGCAGAGCGGGTCTGCCTTGTCTCATTCTGCTCAAAGCTACTGACGCAAATGTGAACCCTCATACAGAACAGCTCAAAGGTCTCAATATGTGGTAGAGTAATTGCGACCCAGCCGAAAAACTGCCAGTGATTTAAAACAACCCCCCCAAAAACAAGGATCCAGGCTTCACCCCAGCTGGAGCTGAAACAAAATCAAACACACAGACATGACAATATCTCTCAAAACTGAAGTCTTTTATTTTTTTGAACAACGTAAATAGCCCCTGCAATTGTTAGCTAATAAAACGGAACCCACCCACCAAAAAAGTCTGATTTGTGCTTCTGCTTTACCTTCTGTGTGCCTTCGTTTGCCCTCTAAGCTTTATACTCTAAGTTGGTTAGCTGACATTAGCCTAGCCAAAATCTCAAGGCCAAAACTAGATGTTTATCGACATTGGATAATATAAAATAAATGACTCATGACTCATTCATGGTTAGTATGAAACCAATGACTTCTACATATTACTAACTTTGATAAAACCTTATTAAAATCAAACTCAGACGTAACCAAAAAAAAAAAAGGGTTTTGCTGCGCTACATATGAGGCCCACATGTACTGTGATCAGAACTTTTTTTATTGTGGTCATGGTCGATGTCGACGTGCCACCAGATCTGGCTCAGAACCGCATTTTCTGTGAAATTTATCTTTCCACACCCTTGCGGTGCACCCGATGCTTACCAGAGAGGCAAATACAGATGCCAAACCGCAGAACGGGACCACATGTTTCACATCTCGTACAAGGTAACACGCTAGCCCGTTGGAGCCCTAATCGCGCTTTCAGGAATTTGTGAAGGACTGTACGTTAACTTCAATGCATGAACATGGTTACGTGTTGCTGAAGCAAACAACCGATGGAACAGTGGCACAGTGGGGCGAATGTAAGCAAAAGCAGGTAGCTTATTGGCCAAAGGACTGCCTCGTGAGTGTTGTCCCGATGACAAAATGGAAAATCGATGAAACAAAACAATATACAATTTCAATATTGAAAATACAGATCAATAAAATAGGCACTTATCAAGTCCACATGTGTCATTCTATTCTCTGTCAGTTCTGCATGCACCATTGGAAAGGAATTGTCATTATTTTTTTTAATACATTTTTTCTGAAAGATCCAGGTCCAAAATTATTCATATTTTTTCCATTTAATCAATCCAGTAGAGTTCGAGTTGTATGGTATGCTCAACAGTTCACAAAATGTCACCAGGATGTTTTTCAATGCTTTCCTCACACGTTGGATAAAATCCAGGATATGAAGCTTCAAAATGGACAATTAAAAACATGAAGCTGCAAACAGACCCTTCCACTCTCTTTTTTTTCGTAAATCCTTGAAATGACCATCATTGTCTTTATTACATTGAGTGTCTTTTTTAAAAAAAATCTTGCACTCCACCAATACTCAATGTTTTTAAAAACTAAAACGAATACGAAAACTAAAAAAAAACCTAAACTTAAAAAAAAAAGCATTTTCAAACAACAACAAAAAAAAAGCCTAACAAACCTGCTCTTGAAATGTCATTAAGACTGAATTTACAGACTTTTTGGGCCATTTTTTGACAGTGTATTGTGTTCTGTATCCTGATTAGCGATGGGACTGTAGACCAATGTCAACAATGTCCTTCAATTTATAGTATAGTATAACTATAAAAAAAAATCAAGCTGACTATTTCAGGGTTTACCCTGTTGCGGATTCTTTTTGGAACATAACCTCCGTAAAAAATGAGGGTGCACTGTAGTATGAAAAATGTACAACTATCATAAAAGTACTGTCCTAGCAGACCCATAAAAAAGATTTTCACCAGGACACACACACCGGCCAAAATGGGTGACCTTTAGGGCACAGATTAGCAGTAAGTCACACTTATTTGTCTTGGCTATTTTATTGCTTCCATCTGTTCTTTTCTGCCAATGAACCTCTCTGCCCACCTGCACCCCCCACCTTCATGCTCTCCTGTCCTCCACCACCTGTTTCCTGCCTCGTGATCTCGTATTCAATTTGGGTTTATGTTCAGCGTCGCACTTTTTAACACAGGTTGGGATGATGCGCAAACAAAAGAACTGTTGTGCACTTTTCCAAATGTTCGAGTCAGCATGCACGCAGAGGTGTGCCTCCCACCCAGGCTCCGCTGTGTGAGCCTTTCAGCCAGCCCTTTCTGGGCCCCTTTTTAGCCTCTGTTCCATTGTTCTTGTGCTCTCTTATCAGCTGCGCAGGCTCCAGCCTTCCTCACCACAAACATCTTTCTGCCTGGAAATACAAGCTTCAACACCACATTCAGTGAACAGGCTGAATGAAGTTTTCATTTTTCCACCCATTCAGTGGACTTCGTGACAGAAAATTTATGGAGGCGTGTGAATCCTGGTGAAAATGCATTTAATGGGGTCCCAAATATGCCCCTTCTTCACTCAGTATGACCCCCCCCCCTCCTCTAAAGTAAACTTTTAGGTCAAGGTGCAATTTATTATGTCACTGTTATGGCAAGATACAACGCCTTTTTTTTCTTCTTAAAAAATCCTCTCCCATGACCAAAGCTGAGTTGGAAAAGAAGGCTTTAGCATTCTAGTTTGAGAAAGATTGAATAAATGAAAACGGGCTTCGCGTGGCCTTGGGGGATCAGATAAGCGTTTAGTCCAGGGTCTTGGGCCTTTCTCGCACAGGGAAGCTTTTGTTTTCTCACCATATTCTTGGCTTTCATTCAAGAGCAATGCTGTTTATTATTCCCTCGTTGCCAGATTAATCACACATAGTGATGATGGGATCGGAGCTTAGAACTACAATATTCCCCCGCCCGATGTATTTCGCGACGAAACAAATACAACAGACCACCCCGTGTGACATTGGAGACACAACTTTGTTTATTTTTGAGTAATCCCTCATTTAATGTCGAGAGATTTGGCAGTGTGAGGCTCTGTAATAAAATCAGGATGATTATTTCCACTGGGGCACGCAGGAAGAAAAGCTATCATTATCTATATCTAACCTCCCCCAGGGCTATGAACGCTATCTGTAAACCTGCTCAAAGCAACTATGTGGCACAATTAAAAGGAACAGAGTGTGCCTACCCGCAAAGTGTTAATTAGCAATTGGCTTGTAAATTTACTGCTTCCTCCCCCCCAAGAATATGAATCTTCCCCAAAAACTAAGCATTTTCGAGCTGCCTAAGAAGTCCGTAGAAGTCACCTGGTCACCTGGAAAGTTAGAAAACTGTAGCCCCTGACGCCTGTTTAACCAATCGAAGTGAAATTGATTAGACGTGGATTGTAACGAGGCATTAAAAATAAAAAAAAAAAAGCTCAAGATTGTACATTCCCAAAAACACAACATCAAACCGGTAACATTTCGTTTTTTTTGACAATATGCCAGTACACCATCATAAATAAGTCATGGTTGTAATGTAAGCAGGCCTGCCGTTCTGCGGTGCACATGCGTTAGTGTGTCGGGCGGAGGTCTAGGAATGAAGTGAGGCTACATTAAAATCTTGCTCACAGCTTCAAGACAAAAATCATACAAACATTCAAGCCTGCATGCAGACTTGACTCACAAAAGATGTGTTTCCATTAACCAGAATGAAACCGACCAAAAATAATAATTCTTGTTTACTGTTTTTGGCCTCCTCAAGGAGCGCATGGAGAAATCCTTGCCAAGGCCTATTGTACAAGTTTCTGATGGAAACATATCATCTGCATCTCGAGGCTGTGTTTTGGACGAGTGAAGGAAAACACAGGCGTTTGACGAAATAACATGTGGCGTACATGTTAAATGCCAGTTGCTGCGAGTGTTCGGTGGCAAACCTTCACATGCACGCAGTACAAGTGGAGCTAGAGAGTGACACTTGTTATTTCAAGGAATCATGGGATGGATAAAGTTGAAGAAAGCGGTGGAATTTCTCATTCAGTCCTTTGCCTGATTGATTATGTAATTGGGACAAAATGGGAAGCGCTACAGCGGGGACTTTAGAACTTAATTCATTCCATGACCATCATTATTACAGATTAAAATGAAATTGAGATGACATTAATCCGTTTTAGCCACAACAACAACATAGTATTGTGTTTTTTCAATGAGAAAAATAAGACTTGATCATATTGCACTTTACACAAACATACAGTCATGACGTACTTTGAACGTACTCACGATTTTAGTTTGCACAATGTCTGGATGCCACTGGTTCAACCATTGCGTAGCAGTAAATCCCAGAGAAATTCCTGTGAATCGCTAGCCAGATGACTCAGTCTACGCGGAATCTCAACGCGCGTCATTCAATAGTTGTCACGTTTCATCTCGCCGGGGGCCACGCGTTGAGTTGTTGCCGTTGCGCCAGAGGGCCCCCTGTTGGGTGGAGGCGGGACTGCCGTTCCGCTCGGCGCTGCCAAAAAAGCAAGCAGGCATCTGAGTTGAGTTTCACTCGGCTGCGGCCAAGCTTTCGGCAGATGGTGTTCGCCAAACTCGCGACGTCGTGCTGATTAGAAGCAGAGGGGCTGCTGGGGAGGGGGAAATCTCACACTTCGCGAAAGCCGACGTTATCATTTAGTCGGCGAGGCTCCACGTTGTGTAGTCTGTTATGATTATACTGTATATATTTTTTTACTATTTTACCGAAGACTTACTTTACTTCAGACTTTTTCCACATTATTAGGACCGTCATTATTTCTTGCAAAATTCTAACTTCCCACTGCTAATATTCGCCTTTCCTGTTTTAATATTATGACTTTTTCCCTTGCAAAAGTAAGCGGTTCCCTCACAATATTTTATATTTTTTCATAAAATTATGATTTTATTTTTTTTGTAGGCATTCATTTTTCTCATTAAAATGACATTTTAACCTCGTAACATCATGCCTTTATCTTGACAAATTGTCTAAAATAATAATAGTGAACATTATTCTCAAAAAATGATGACTGTACTGTTTATTGTGTTTATTTCCTTATCGAAAACATACATTTTCTTCTATTCTAAAATTCAGATTTTTTTTCTTGCAATATCGTGTCTTTTTAAAAATAAAATTACACTGTTTTTTTTTTTGTAAAATTACAACCTTAACATTTTTTCTTGCAATATCATGTCCTTTTTAAAACAAAAATTACTTCGTAGCATTACTTTTTTTTTGTAATGGAGTGTTACTTTTAGTTATATTTTTATGGATGAAGTCAAAAAAGAGGTAATAAACTTACCCGTTGAGCAGAATTGTTTCTCACTGCGCGTCACTTCTTAATCATTTTAACCTCCTGAGGTCCTTTCATTCTGCTTCTGTTAGCTATTCTTATACACCGTGTGACAAATATGCTGATTTAAATTGCAAACTCTTCCAGTACAGTAACAAAGTACTTTTATGTTCTTACTTCCCACCACTGAATGTACTGCCCGAGTAGCCAAGAGTACTCAATAGCCATGTGTGTATTTTCAGCACAACTGATTGTTTGTCTAAGAACATGATAGTCATTCTATCTAATCAAGTAAAACAAACGGGAGGCTGTTTTCATTCTCAGGACATTCAGTGCAGTGGCTAAACAAGCCTCTTGTTAGACCGTACAGTGTGTATTGTGTACTGCTTGCTCACTGTACTGATAGCAGTGTGTGTGTCCTCGGGACGCTTCAGGGACGGCGGACCTGATACAAGCTGGCTCAGAAAGGCTGACCGGGGGCCAAGTGAACGCCATTCGAGTTTGCATTCCTCTGATGCACACTGTCCAATTTTGTCCGCTCATTTGGACACGCACAAGACACAAAGGAGCTGCTGCGTTGGGGCTCCCCTCGAGCTCCCGTGGGGCCTCGTTGCAGGTGTTGACACCGGTGGGTCAATATATTAAGTACACCTGCACCGTCTTGATGAAAAACTTATACGTGGAACTTTGTTGTGCTTTATTTCATCATATTAAATATTGTCATAGATGTCGTGCCCAAATGAGGTATCAGAAAATATGAAACAAATTCAATATTCATCACATAAATGCATGTTTAAAATTATAAGGCATTCCTCGTAATAAAATGACATTTGATCGAGTTTTGCTTTCCTTAATTCTTTGGGAACTCAAAATGTTAATATCTTTTTATTTTATTCAAAATGAATTGAATTTTTAAATGAACATAACTTCATTACAAAAATAATAATTTAACAACGTATATGGTCCAATTCTGAGCTATTTTAGCCAATACATTTGCTGTGTGTTGTGGTTACAACAAAACACATACCGTATACAATATTTTTATTGTTGTTATTATTATGGGCATATTCTATATGGGCGTTCCCCAATAATTTCTTTATATATTTCACTATTTTAGTTTTTTCATTCAAAAATGTTCACGTCAACTACCGTTGGATAGAAAATAAATGCGACATTTTTTGGGGAGTGATTTGATGAACGTTGTCGCGTTGCATTGTTGTGCTGGAATGAACCTGAATTTACACCGACATCTGGCGGTAGAAAACAGAAATTCCAAAGGATAAATGATAATGCGACAAGCACTTTGATCAATCACAAACTGCTTGTAATGGGCGAATTTCCAAAGGTCCGCTGTGTTCTCAACAAGAGTCAAGTATCGTGTCGATACACGGCGATCTCAACCGAGGGATCCAATGCTGCCATCTGCTGGCCTTAATTAGCATGGTTTTAATTTTGGTTTTCCCGTCTTAATGATCTAGTCAGAGTTGCCCAAGACTTTTTCTATGCACATAAAAAAAAAAAAAAAAACAGTAAGCCACACTGACAGCGTTCAAAGTGCTCATTTTCGAAGATGTAGCACCACGATAAATGTGCCATGGTGGCGTAAATGGCCCCTGGGTGTGACTTTGGACACAGCTGGTCTGTGTTTAGTGAGGAAGAAGACAAAGGTCTTGACAGTGCAACACTTGCAACTTGCAACACACAAAAGCTGCTTCATGAACTCACCGAGCACCAGAAGATGGCGGCGGATCCGGCAGACACTCCGACGAGTCCCGAGGCTCCTCGTTTCGCACGTTGTCGTGTGTGTGTGTGTGTGTGTGTGTGTGTCCTATAGTACTGCTGTGGCATTACAGCCAGGAAGAGGAGAAGGAAGAAGAGGAGTGGGTACCAGGGGGTTTATTAAAGGTCAATTTGCCGCCACAGTGGATGTCGCAAATTGAAATTGTTAACATTCTAGCTTGGCAAAGTAAAAAAAGAAACAAGTGAGATAATGTGGTTTCCAAAGCGAATTCATCCCCTTGGAAGTGGAGATGTGGCTGTGTTCCGAATTAACTAATCAAATTCAGACTCACGTTAAAAGGAAGTCAGCACATACTTGCAACCATTTTCAATCACTGATTGAGTTTAGCTGCTGTTGTAGGCTATTTATATATGTGACATGTTTTAAATTGCGGAAAAAGCATCAACTGTGGTTGAAATGTAAACATCATTTTATTTCCACTTTACTTTTTTAAGTCCATTGACAGATCTCAAACGTTTCGATTATCTAATAAACAGCAACAACAGGCATTTACACATTCAAGGACAAAGAATTCACTGCAACGATAACAAGACGCCTTCGGATCCACCCCGAGTGCCAATTCACGTTATTTCTTGTACCAACAGCTTCAAAGAAAATGTGTCCTCAGTTTGTGTTGTGCCCAACCTCTGATGGATTAAAAGCCTTCGAAAGTGACTCCTCAGTAAAAAGAAGGCACAACACTGCACGAGAAGTTCCTGTAAGAGTTTACAAGGTCATCAAAAATGCTGCAATTTTTGTTCCCGTGAATCCTGCGCATATCATCATCTTTTAAATGAGGTGTCCTTGTAAATGCTTTCTTGAAATGCTTCAAATTTTTTTTGGTTTTCATTCGTATGGAAACATGATTCAAGTTGAGTGCTTATTTTCGAATGCTTCTCAGATTGAGGCGATGATTCGTTTGTGATGTAGTTGCCCGGGGATTTTACACCTGTACTGATGAAAAAAATGCTGAAATAATTTTTGTATGAGATTCTGCAAAAAGTTAAGCATCATCTCACAGTAAAACTCACTTCAAGATAGCTCCAAGCTGCCACAAGATGGAGCCAAAATGCAAGTCTTTCTCCAAATAAAGTTCCTTAATTCACTTCGCAACAGTTCCTTCGCACCAAGCTGTCTCAAGATGGCACCAAAATGTAACTTTTGTCTAGATGAAGCTTCTCAACTCACTTCTAAACACTTCTTTGGAACCAAGCTGTCACAACACGGCACTAAAGGGCTACTTTTGTCAAAATGAAGCTCCTCAACTCACTTCTAAATAGTTCCTTGGCACCATGCCACCACGAGATGACTGAAAAGCAGTACTTTTAACAAAATGAATCATTATTTCAAAGTCTTTCACGTTGTATTGTTTGGGTTTGGACATATTACTTTACATTCTTTCACATTAATCAAAGCCCAAATCCAGGTTTTTGGCTAATTTCAGAGCCACTGTTGTACAAAATCAAAAGAAAATGCTCACAAGAACACGCTCATGCGACAATTCTCTATTTGTCGGAATATTTATTTCGGTATCAGATTGTTTTTTTACGCAAGGTTTTAGTTGCGACTGTGAGTAGATTTCAAACTGGATGGACATGCTGTGCTCCAAGCATAACAATGAATATTTTGACCAGTTTAGGCTATTATATGCATTTGTTGGGGAAAAAAAAAAAAACGTTCTTGAAGCTTTGAAAAGGAAAAACATAATCCCAGAGCACTTTTCTAGGAAATGCTACTAAATACTCACAATAACATACGCAGTGTTCTATTTAACATTGAATGGAATTTTTATTCACGTATATCTTAGCTAAGTGCATATGTTAACACATTGCTCAAAATGGAATATGAATGAGCATTCTTGTCATCTGAAACGCAATGCGAGTTTATTAGCTGCACTAAAATGACTGCTTTGGTGCCTACGCTGCCATTCAGGGTTTCATTTGATTCCTTTCAGGTAGTTGGACACAAAGCAATGACTCAGCATTTCAACACACCGCAGATTAAAAATACACTATGACTCACTATTTTTTTGGAAGGGGGTAGGGAGTGTTTGACATGATGAAATGACAAAGTCTGACTGAAATGTTTCCAAAAAAAAAAAAAAAAAAAAATCACAAAAATCATGTAGACAGACTTTATACGTCCAACAAAAATATTCAAGTAAAACTCAATTAAAATGACATGAACTCGACAGAGTGGGAGCTCGATAGTGCAATGGAATGTTTTGTAACGTCTCACGACAATTTAGGAGGAAATATCACAAAGTGTTAACACTCTAACGCATCAAAACTGGAATATTTTCAAAGCACCCACAAATATCGGGGGGACAAAGATGACAGATAAGAGACACTTAACGACTGGAATACATTCAAATGTTTTTCTTCTTTCGTAACGAAATTAATCAATTCACCAAATTTAATCACGTAAGATGGCGATGAGCCTTTTTCGTCCTTGAAACACTTCAATGAGTAAAACTGCCTTCTTTTCCCCCCTTATTTTTAAAATACCCAACATCAAAATGCAAAAAGTGCATCTTGTCGACTTAATTTAGTAGAAACTTGCACAAAATTACAAACGCACCCATTCCACAAAGATGGCCGACGCGCTACGCTTAATAATACAACATTTTGCTACAAGAACTTTTCCAAGTGGTTTGGAGGATGGAATATTAACCAATGAAGTAGACAATGCAGTACATTCATTCATAAAAATAAAAAAACAAAAAACAACCGTACCAGGTGAATTACGATTTGGGACAAAAAAGCCTATTGATTTTGTTGGCTGTTGACATCCATTATAGTCTTTTTAAATTGAGTATACTAATTATAACAATCCATTTGAATTCATACAACAGCTACAAATACGACTCAAAGTTGGAAAAAACGTTCAATGATTCGCCGCCAAGTTTTGGACCCTGAGCTTCCTCCCATCGAACACTATCCAAAAACCACCAAAAACCCACGTGAGGTAAAAATTCATATTTCGACTGCGTGCTACTTCCACAAAACAGTTTGGAATTCTAACATATCAAATATACGCCAAATAGAACGTTACAAAAAAAGAAAAGAAAATAGTCACATATAGTTTTTCCTAAAATGGAGTTCAACTGAGACAGCATCGGGTCGCACAGTGACTCCCTCTTAATTTGTCAATTTGGTATGGATACCAAATTGACAATAAGTTTGAATATTGTAAAAACGAGAAGGAAAAAAACCCCAGCAACAACAAGCCGAAAATTGTAAACATTGTACCAGTACAAGAGCACAGGTGGCGAGACATGGTCAGAGAACATTGATACGCATTGACCCAGGGCGTGTTTTTTCTGTGTGTTCTTTTTTGTTTTTTACTCTTCTTCCATGGACTTTTCAATCTCCTTCAGCCTGCGGACAAACTCCTGAGCCTCCCTGTCACCCACCCGAGCGTCCAGCATCCGCATGATCGGTTTATCTGCAGGACGGAAAGCAGAAAAAAAAAAAAAAAGAAGAAGAAATCCATGATCCCATCGCAACCTTAAACAGCAAGCCTACAAAGTGGTACATTGGAAAAAGATCCAGTCAGAAAAAAATATTTGAAGGAAATTCTAGTTCAAAAGATATGCAAATTCAAGACTACCACGTTAAATCAAAGATGAAAATCATTCTGCTGATAGAAGGAAATATCACGCTAATTTGTGCATGAGAGGGTTCCAGGCAGACAAGAGTACCGCTGGGTTTGCTGCGAGACAGGTGGAGGATGAAGGGCTGCACGCTCTTGCCGGTCGCCGTGGCGTTGGGCCTCCCTGGCCAGCAGAAGTCGCTGAGCGGGGCCACGGCCTCGCCGGCAAAGTCGTTGGTGGACAGCCAGTCGTAGTCCATCACGGTGAAGGTCAAGCAGGCGAATCTGTGCCTGTACTGCTCGGGACTCACGTGGCTGCGCGGGCGTGGGTTAGGATTATTCAATCGTCTGTCGCAGTGGGTGTCAAACTCATTTCTGTCTCGGGCCACTTCGGAGTTACGTCTTCCCTCAAAGGGTCGTTGAAACCACAAACATTTTCAATCGTCTCAGCCGCATTGTTATTTGTACACGACAAATGATTGGATTACTACTTTTGAAATGAGTCAACTATAATAGTTTGTTCAATTATAGTTCAAGGGAGTGTAAACAGGATAACAATATGATTGCAAAATCTCATTTCTTATTTATTGCACGACAATTTGACATTTCGGTGCACATTTTCGCAAAGCACGTGCAAATTGACACGCATGGTTGGCTTTCGCGGGCCAAGTAAAATGACATGGCGGGCCGGATCTGGCCCCCAGGCCCTGAGTTTGACACCTGTGGTCCACCAGCAATTTTTACATATTATTTACAATCATAGGCATGAAATAAAACTCAGCAGAAGTGGACTGTCGTCATTGATATTTTTTTTGATGCGGCTGTAGGCGACCCATAATAACCTCAGTGACTTCAATGCGGACTTTTTGAAATTTGTTTGGAGAGAACGCCTCCTTAATTAGCTTTGATGTTAGATCCTATATAATCCGCCGACAGGATGTAATGTTGCTAATAAAAGGTGGTGGAGAAAGGTAACACCGGAGCGACCTTTTGCGAAGAGGAAATGGAGTGGCGAAGCAATAACAAATTCGAAAGCACATAAGCCACCCCCCCGGCGTGACCTTTAAATGACACGAGCGGGAACGGGCACTCACAAGTAGAAGAGCTCGTCGAACACGGGGTGCAGCGTCTTCAGCTTCACCTGCGTGCGTTGGCTCTTGGCCAGCGGGAAGAGGTGGTGGGGGCACAGTTCCACGATGACGAACGGGTCGCTCAGACCTGACGTCAGGATCGGTAGAAATGACAGATGAAACCACAGAAACCCCTCCTTGTTTAACTCGTTCACTCCCAAAGACGTTTTTAAACGTCTTTTCAAACTTGGTCTAGAATTGGCTGGAACTGAGTGTGAGTGGGGGGGTACACAGGTGCTGTTAGTCTCATTTGTTTGTTTCCCAGATTTGGGCTTCTCCAAACTTTCAATCACAAATGAGGAAAATAGGATTCAACATTTACAATTGTCGACCCAACCGTTTTTCGGAGCAGATGGGCTTTTACCGTTGGCATCCAGCGCCATGATGTCGGCGGCGTGCAGGATCTCCACGGTCAGCCTCTGCTCGGGAGCGTCGTAGTAGCACTTGACGCTGATGCGACCAAAGCGTGTGTGTTTGAGGGTTTTCTGTAACGCACACACATGCGCACCGCCTCAGGAGTGTCATCAGGGTGTCTCGCTTATTTGAAAGCGAGCTTGTCAAAGTTATAATAGTTGTGGATTCTTCATTATAGTTAGTTTTGATTTGATTTTATCTTTTTATTCAGTTAGCTTTAATGAGTTTCTGGAGCATTTTAGCTAGTTTTGATTAGTGTGTTTTTTTTTTCTCTCAAATTTTTTAGTTTCGTTCTTGTTTTAGTATTTGTTTTAGTTTTACAGCCAATTATACTATACGTACGATACACTGAATGAAGAAACGCCTTGTAAAAATCTGGATGGATGGATGGCGTAAGTAATAAAGTGTCCAACATATATATAAATCAAGCTTTTCATAGATTTTTTTTTCCATTTGACAACGACAACAACATCAAAGCCACAAGTGGCGTGTCTGGTGTCCGGATCGATGCCCGGCGAGGCGGAACGCACCTGCAGGGAGATCTTTTCCAAGTAATACTGTTCAATCAGTTCGAAAGAGGAACACTTGTTCATCTTCAGCTCCTCCTCCAGGGCCTTTGGGCACATGTTTGCAAGGAAAGGACAAAAGATGCAAAATGCTCTTATTTGCGGTTTATTTACACCGACAGTGAGGCTTGTGCAAAAAAAAAAAAAACAAAAACAAAAAACACATGCTGCAATTATATTTTCAGTCAGTAAATTTTATCTTGTCTTTCAGTCGATTGGAAATGGTTAGCATAATTTCCATGCAATCATTCCAACTCTCTAATCAGGATTATAGTGGCCGCAGGCATCATACACATGAGACAACCGTTAGCATCAAAACATTAACCACAAGAGTAAAAAGAAAATGTGTCTTAGATGACCTTGTAGTCTCCGCTCTTCATATCTTCAAGGGACAGACCGTTTCCTTGGAGAAATTGCAATAAGGTCTACGAGCGCACACAAAGATGGAGAATTGAGAGACATATTCGCGCAGACGGCACCTGTGTGAAAAGAGTCGGCACGGACCTCGACAGTGTACTGGAAACGGTTGTAGAACTCCACCTGAACGCCTCGGTTCTCTGTGACTGAGTCCAGAATCATGCGCAGCAGCAGCTCCCACAGGCTCTGCAGAACCCTAATAAGTCAAAAAACATTCAGAGTCTCTAGAAATCTCCAAAAACACCACACATTTTTTTTTAAGTCTCTTGAGGGACTGGAAAAGTTTCCAAAACTGAATCGCCCAAGCTCCGCCCCCAGTCATCAAGGTAAAGAAAGCCGTAGTCTCCATTAGCGTTAAGACGCAACGGCGCGTACAAAATCGAGCAATTTTAATCTGCGTTTGCTGTAATTCTTTATCCTTTGTGTATTTTTGACGGGGAGAATGTCAGTACGCTTAGGGGACCCGTTTTAAAATGTGAACAATGTGCATAAAATGTCATTCTTTTTAAATACATCATTTAGATTTTGCATTGTCGTCTGCGATTCTGCGCCACCTTTGCAAATCGGTGGCAGCACGCGCACACACCACATACGCATAGGCACCAGGGAAAAGCATTTAGGCAGAAGGTATAATTAGAAATCATAATGGTTATGCTAATCACACATTGTCCCCGGTATAATAAAAATATTTAGAGGAAGGGGGGGAGGCAAAGGCAGTAATTACCGGATGAGGTTGTCCTTCACCAGCGTTTCGGTGAGGATGACCACTGTGTCCTGCAGGTACTTCATGAGGGGGGCCACAGCCTGGTCACGACAACGTGAACACACTCAAGCTACAACCACACACGCGGTCATAACATTGCAACAAAGTGACTTGAGGCCTTACGTCGTCGTTGTTGATGGAGTCGGGAGACAAGCTGATGTGCTGGATGTAACGCCGAAGCTCAGGCACCATCTGCACGGCAACAACGATATGTGTTGGGAACTGAGGACGCGTTTGTATTTTGCGCTTCAAAGTGTGCCACAAATTTTCAATGGGAGACGGGTCAGGACTGCTGGCAGGCCAGTCAAGTACTCGCACTCTTTTACTACAAAGCCACGCAGTTGTAAGGGACGTCCTCGTTACTTGTCCCTGTCCCATTTTGTTGTGTTGGATGCATCAAATTCAAAGAGAAAAAATATTGGCACAATAAAAAAAAAAAAAATCACAATCATCCATTTGAACATTAAATATCCTGTGTATTCAATTGAATATAAGTGAAAGAGGATTTATGTTCTGATGTAGCGGCACCTTGTCTGTAAGCAGCATGATGAGGTGCTTGGCTTCCCTCTGCAGGTCCAGATCCATGTTGAAGAGCTGCCCATTGAGAGCCTTGAACACCTGTTCCTTGCCCTCGGCGCCGCACGACTCCTCCATGGCGCGCTCCACGCCCGGCCAGTCCAGCTCGCGAGGCAGGTTTCCCAGGAAGACGCGGACGTGTTCGACGTCGTTCAGGGCCACGCACAGCTAAGCGGGAAGCGAGGAGGAGGAGGAGGGCAGGAGGAGAAAAAGAGAGAGCGAGAGATAGGGCGGAGGTGGAGAGAAGGCTGAAGGAAAAGAAGCAGGGCTACAAAGAGGGCAGGGTGCCGCTTTGAATGACTGACAGGCAACAATTTGCTTTTTTTTTTTTTTTTTTAACAGAGTTATCACAACGCTGCGCTTTCATGCCCCTGCTGGGATCTCGCTGCCATTTGCCGCATACGCCTTGCTATGGATGGGCCTTATTTACCTGAACTATGAAGCTCTTGTGGTCCAGGCCCAGCTGGCTCCTCTCTATCTTGCGCGTGAGCATCTCTGAGTAGTACACAGCCTCGCTACAAAAGTTCTGAGACAAGCAGGGATGGGATGAGTCACAACATTGAATGGGTCATAACTTCATCTAAATGTACAGTCATATTCCAAAAATTTGAATGTGTCAGCAGAATGCTAACAAAATTTCCAGGCATATCATCTGATTCCAAAATGGTGACATTGATGCTTGTAAAATGTCTTCTACTTTACATCAATTACACAACCATTCCCAGCTAATCCATGGAACAATAATCAAACTCATTTGCAGTCATTTTACTGCGGATTCCCTCAACGATCGCCATTTCAAAAGCGAAGTTGCAAGTTATCGAGCGCTGGGTACTAACGTCGGTCAAGCGGGTGACGAAGATGAATGTCCCCGCAGAGTCCGGCCAGGCCAGTTGGAGCCAGATGTCTCGGACTTGCCGGAAGCAGGATGTCACTTCCAGCGCTGAGGAACTGTGCTTGGCCTGCTGCACCGCTTCCATCTGAAACCGATACGAGGTGTCCTAACCAAAAACACCTGATGCGCATTGCGGTAAGATATCAATTCAAAAAGCAACCACATTGGCAAAGAGTTTTTAAATCGACTTAATTGGAATATCAGTCGCATGTGATTAAAATGTGTGTCAAGCGTCATTATTTTTAAAGGAGAAGAGGGGGGAAAAAAATTTGCATCAGGTGACCACATTTTATTTGTGTGCAACTGATGCGTGATGATGACGACTGTGCACGGAGGCAACACGCGACTGGTGACAAGATTTGTATTCTAAAATAATTTCTAGTAATAATCGATGCTGGAACTCACTCAATTATTTAAAAAAAATGTATTTTATTCGAAGCAATACATTGCCATTAATTCACAAGTTAAAATTGTTTGTATAATTATTCTATGTAAAAATATATTAATTCCAATATTCTCTTTTTTTATTATACATTCCCATTAATTCAGACATTTTATTAATTGTGAGACAAACTCTATTTATAAAATATCAAATGCATTTAAAAAGTTCCCATTATTTCGAACACCCCAGTCCAACTTGAAACAGCTCTACTTTTCACGTAAAATATATGACGTCACAAAAATTGTGACTGGTAGGGAGTTCATTTCTTTTACCTTTGACCCCTGTCATCTCAAATATCGTATCTGTGAAAAAACATCAGGGATATTGCTTTGAGGTGAGGCAATATCACATGATGTTTGCAGAAGAATCAGTTGAAAATTTGTTCCTGGACGAACAGTGAAAATGAAAAAGAAAAAAAAAAAATGACGTCCATTGCTTGGTCACAGAGAAGCAATTACTAAATGTGACCCCAGTGGAGCAGATGACGCAGAGCTGTATCGCCATGGTTACCTTGCACTTGAGAACCGAGTGCCAAATCAGGGGCAGGGTGTCTTACCTTGTCCGTCTCCACCGCTTTGCAGATCCTGTCACATGACCTGTCGTGAACAATCTGCAGGAACTTGTGAATGGATGACTTGAACCAGTTGTGAAATCCCGTTAAGGCCAACATCTTTGCATCCCTGCGGAGGAGGACGACGAACAAAACACGACAAGCAACAAAAGCGTGACTCATGGCATGTATGAACAAAAGTAACGGGACACTGGCTAAGCGAAAGTATGCGAGTTGCGGCTATGACGGACTTGAGAGGAAGAAACTCCCGGAAGCCCTTGAGGCTCTTCAGGGACATGAAAAGCTCAAAGACTGTCTCGCCCATCGTCTGCGTCAGTCTGGAACTTTCCTGCTCCAGGGTGCCGCAAAGCCTCTCCATGGCCACATTGACATCATCGGCTACCTGTAAAAAAAAGATTAAAATACCATTAAAAAATAATGGATGTTAGACGTGAAATAAAGTTTTCGGGTAAATTGAGTACCTTGCTTAGGAAAACGTATTAAATGAAATGAAATAATTACGCTGTCAGTGAACAATGTTGTACCAGTAGCCGCCATTAAGAGCTAGCGGCTAGCTGCTAGTTATCAGTGAGTGCCCAGCGTAGGTTGGCAAAAGCCATCGGTCTCCTTTTCGAAGACAGTTTAATCGGCATTACATATATCGTTTTAAATTAATCGTTTGTTAATCAGGTAGCGGAATTTTATGATGACAAATGTTGGAATTGGTCTCAATAGATTAATATCTGTCAGGTCCTAATTTTTAGCTCATGAAAAACCCAAGTTGGCTAGTTTTCATACCTCATATTTGTTATATAACATGATGACTTTACACGTCTCCTTTCAAATATTCACGGTTGTGGAGACCTACCAGCTTCTCCAGCTGCCTGTAGGACACGCTGAAGAAATCCACTCTGACCGCACTGTGGGGAGAACAAAAAAAAAAAAAAAAAAAAAAAAAAAAAAACTCCTAGAAGTGAATATTAATGGGACTAAATGTTAGCAAAAAGTTCCAGCCTCGGTTGCACCTGTAGAACAGTTTGTTGTAGATATTCTGAGCTCTCTGAATGTCTGCGCAGACAGCGTCCACCACCGTGACCATTTTTTTCAGGTGCTCCTCTAGCGACTACATCCAAAACACACAGATTTTGCCATTCTTGACAATGAGGTACTGTCCAAAATAACGCTGAGGAGTTTGTCCCTTGCGTGCACATACCCCATCTTCCACCTTGTACTGCGCAATGAGGCCCTCGTACCACTCAGAGGTTCCTTTCTGTTGAGAGGGTGAAGTCATTTCAAAGTAGTCGGTCATTAAAATCAAACTCAAGCTCATTAAAAGGGACTCCAGAGGTATGATTCCACTTTCACTGTCGTTACCTTCACGGCGGCTGTGATGTCCAAGTGCAGCTCGTTACGGAGGGGGCAAACGGTCTTAAAGGCCCGCATGTTCTGCATGTAGCCGATCCCCCTGGTGGAGGAGTAAGAGCACCATTTTACGACGATAGTCGTTACGTGTTGTTGTACTCAAAGTGTATGTATGCACAGAATGCACGAATAAAGTAGTCGCTGTGGATTTTGAACAGATTGAGATACCCGAGGCTGGTTTAATTATGCTGACCGAGCAGACTGGATTGAGGATTGAATTTGGGCAGCCTGAAGAGCCGAAGCTGGTAACAATCTTACAAAACTAACAAGTGCCTGGATGGCTCCGTGGTAAGTACAGAGGTCAAGGTTCAAATCTTGGTCAGAGCAGATATGCCATTCATGGAAAATGGATGCATAAAATAGGATATGCGATGATCCCTGACAAGGTAAATCTGCTTATTTTTCTTTAAAAAAATTGACCATAACATTTGCATTATTTATATAGACAAAATATATATATAAAAAACTGAGTTGCTTTCCTAACCTACCTGCTGCGGATTATGATCATAGTGTGTTACTTTTATTTTGAAGCAACAGATTGCTCTGAAAATCGGCTTTGGGCAATGTAAAAAGCTGAAGCTATTTGCCATTTTGGAGTCATTGACTGAAGTTGAAGTAAATTTGACGTCACATTCTTAGGAAACGGTGGTGGTGGCCGGACGGCTAAGTGGATAAAGGGTTCACGTTTCTGCATGGCCAAGCCGGCTGGTGGGCAGCGAGAAAAGGTCAGACGTTTCCCGCCACGGCGCACGATGCGATGCGATGTGACGGTTGTGCAGCAGCGGGGGCGTTACCTCAGCATGAGCTCGTAGCGCGTGATGGCGGCGGCGCTGGTGCAGGGGAAAACCTGCCGCATGTTCTTCATCAGGCACAGGCAGTGCTCTGTGTACAGCCTGAAGCTGTCTGACAGCTGCCTCTCCTGGACACAAGAAGCGCCTCCCCCGTGTTAGGCTCAGAGACATTTTTTGGCGAAACCAAAACAACTCGGGGAATGTCAGTGACGAGCTAATGAGGCCGACGTTTCCAGATGATGACCCTTACCCCCCGCCGACCCCCCCTTGAGGTGCCCCCAGGTGGAGAGCCTACCAGGTCCCCTCTCACAGAGGGAGGGTCCCACTCTGCATCGATGGCCCTCAGGAGGCGCAACAACAGGGAGTAGCACACCCGCTGGGTTCGATGGTGTCCGCTGTAGCACTGCCAGCGACTGAGGCGGAAAACGCAACCTTTTTAGTATGTTAGCCGCTGTTTTATTTTCACCCGCGTGCGAGAGAAACTCACATAATGGCCTGTTGGAGACGGGTGAGGTCCGTCTGCACGGCATGGTGAGTCAGCACCGTCCACGCCGGGGGGCTAACCTGCCCGTTCCAGTTGTACGGCTCACGCTAGCAAAAGACGTCAGGGTCACGCTTCAAATTGAGTTTAAAAAAGGAAACGTGACCTTTAATCTGCTTGTTCAAATCGTTGGGGCTGTGGAATGCCTGCCCATGAACCAAGTGTAAAATTCACCAACCAAGTAAATCTTGTAAATGTGGTTTTTTTTGTTTGTTTGTTTTTTTTAATCAGGACAAAGTCACGGTCGACGAAGGGTCGGGGGTTAGGTCAAGATGAAGCGTTTTGCGATTGTCTGCAATTATGTTTTTTTTTTCTCCTTCTTGGCGAGCAGAGAGGGGAGGGGTGAGCAGGACGGAAGAAGAGGAGGGAGGGAGCAAGATGGAAGACATACTGCAAACACCGATGCCTGCTCTGTTGATTAATGTGCACTGTCCTAAAATGGATAAATCAATAAAATGGTACCAGCGGGTACTAGTTATTCCCGAGGACAACATGAGTAGCTCACGGGTGTTTTCTAAAAATAGATCACCAGTGACAGGACGCTGTGACTTTCTATGAAAAATTAAACAAAAGAAGAATGTTAACTTTTTAAGATTTAACATGGTACACTTTTTTTCTGCACGAAATATTCTACATTTTGTTTACTGTGATCACGCCGTCAGTATCTAATGTCATCCCATGCCGAGTGCCGAGTTTATTCATTGCTTTCCTTTCAGCTCAATGAGAGCAACTCTTGTAAAAAAAAAAAAAATCAACTTCTTGTATAGAAAAAAGGAAATTTTCTGTTCTCAAGTCCAATGTACACAACTCGAATGTTGTAGACGAATAAAGGAGGAAATCTTCACCTTGACGTGAGCGTGCTCATGCTCCACAATCTGACTCAGGAGTTTCTTGTGGATGGACACGTTCGTTTCTTTCTTCGACAGCGTCGTGTCTCTCTGGCCGCAAAAACCAAAGCGTGAACATGTTCCTCGAAATGAGGTGACCCCCGAAGATGGTCGCGTCACACACCTGGCTTGTGAAAAGCTGCAATATCAGGTGACATTCTCCCTGCACTTTGGAGGCGCTCGAGCGAGGCTCTAATTTGAACCAAGCGTCGAAGCCGCCGACGGGAATCTCCTGTAAAAGACAAAAAAAAAAAAAAAAATGGGTGAAAAAGACATTTGAAGAAAATATGTTTATTTCCAAACATGTGAACTTCTCCTCACATTTAAAGAGATGTTGATGCACCCCAAGAAGTCGTCCGCATTCTCCTCGGAGCCGGATGACGACGATCCGTTGGCACGCACTGATTTTGCAATCTGCTTAAAATATCTAACGGAGTGGTAGTAGTAACAGAAGAGTTCATTTTAATAGAATTCTCACGGCGAGAAGAGTTCCAATGCAAAAAGTACAACCTTTAATATAATGACTATCCTGCCTTTACCTCCCTCTACGCCCGCACTGTGTTCCTTTTTTTTTTTTTTTTTGACTACCATTCTATTTTGAAGTGAAAAATCAAGCAAGTCAGAATAACGACTAACAATAAAAATAATACCTTCCCATTCCTCGAAGTCCACTGACTTCATTGAGTTTTTTGCAAGCCTCGGCCACTGAGACGTCGTCATCGTGATCCCTGGAGAAGAAAAGGAGAGAAGAAAAGGAGAGTGCCTTCTCTTTGCCGCAACAAGAACATCAAGAATCAAATCTCAAGAAAAATATGGGGACTTTTATTGGAGTCGTAGCGTCAGGTCTGACTGACCTTTATCTTCCAATTGAAGATAGGGGTCTCAGGATCCTAAGTAATTCATATTTAGTTATTTTGAAATTATTCTCATTCTATGAGTTTTATATTTCCTACGATTTCAATTAGACTGCCACTATTTTATATTTCTAAAGGCAACATTTTTATCCCTTTTGTCATGATTAAGTCCTGTTTGCTTTGTTTTTTTCAGTCTCCAGCTGGAGAGTGGGCGTTCCCTCCTGAGCCGCACCTGACACTAATCATTACCAGCTGCCTATATATACCAGATGTTATTCGATTGTGTAAGACTACTGAATATTGTGGCCAAAAGATAATATGAAAATATAGGACCTCTGTGTGAATGGGGTCATATTATTTAAAAAAAAAAAAAAACAACTAAAACCACATTTACACTGTGTAACTGAGTCATGCTTTCATTTTAAATGACATACTATGTAGGTACGCATCACATGCACACACCATTACCACATTATGAGGGGGAAAATGAATTTAATTTAAATTAATTAACTTCCTCTAAGCCCCCGAATCTTACCAAATGTCCAAATGTAGCAAGTCACTGTGGACGTCATCCACTTCACTATGAATATAAAAACAAAAGAGAAACGCTCACGATGTACTCCTCTTGCGTCATCATCACAAAAGGTCAAAAACTGCCCAACTCACAAGACAAAATGCTCATCCCAGACGGGATTGAGGGTCTCCGGCTTGACTTCAGTCACCTGGATGCACCTGGCAGGCAGCGCCTCCTTGGTGCTGGAGCGTTTCTCCAACTTGTCTTTCCTCTTCCTGAAGCTGAACTTCCTCTCCTTCTTCTCCTCGGGCTCCCGCGAGCTCTGACCCTCCAAGATCCCCAACATGCAGTAGGGGTCGCTGTAGCCTGGACACACAGCAGATTCAGATTCAAACACGCAATGGACTGATATCTGATAGTGCCTAGCAAATTCCACACATACAGTATACCGAGCCGTAAAAGTTTAGGTTAACATATTTATTTAGTGTTCCCATTTGATAAATATTTATCATAACTTATTTCACTCAAATAGAGCATGATTTCCATGGTCCATAAAAATTCCGCACATTCTTTTAATCAACCGCGCACATCGGCGCAAATGACACGCTATTAGCAAATAAGAGGTAAACAACTTGACTTTTTTGCTAATCGCGCTGAAAAAGCTTTTCAGTGGCATGATGGAGACTATATTAGCTCTGGCCAGAGAGAGGCGATTTAGTACTTGAAGTGGCTTACCATTGGCGTCCTTCGCCAGCAGATTCTTGGCTTTCAAGACAGAAGCTCTCAAGGAAAAAGTGGCTCTCTGTGGATGAGATGCACTAAATAACCTCAATGATTGAAATCATGAAGAAGGCTTTTCATGTATGTGAGTGTTTTTTTTTTTTTTTAAAAAAAGTTTTGGGGAATTCTGCATCAACGCTGCCCGGACTCACCTTGGATTCTTGCACCTTCTGGAGTATAATGTCATGCTCCTCCTCGCAAATATCAAACACCTTTTTTCAAGATGGATATAAAAGCAAGAATATTTTTTTCATGAGCTCTTGGGAACAAACTCGACGCACTTAGAATGCAACCCGCACAAAACAAGCCTGCAATAGCTTGGCATGACATGGGAATGGATGTCACGATATTACGTTAGGTTACGAATACCTTCAGCAGGTAGGCAAAAATCTCCTCATCACTCGTCACATGCTCTGATGAAGGCACCCCCACTCGGTTGACGATTGTGTACACGACCTCCTCATAGAGCAAGTCCAGCTGTATGGAGAGGCGGGGCACACAGAATTGCGACACTTAAGACCCACATTCTGATGTACCGTTTTTCTTCTTTCTGTCATTGCAATTTCAAGTGTGAGGCAAGTGAAACAGCGGAGCTAACAAACCTCCACCCTGCTGGTTCTGTCCTGGATAAAGGCCTGGTCCACATGTTCTTGTGGTGGTGGCACGGTGCAGGCTCCTCTTTGGCTCTGCCATGGGATCAGTCATCTGCATCAACGCTGCCCGGACTCACCTTGGATTCTTGCACCTTCTGGAGTATAATGTCATGCTCCTCCTCGCAAATATCAAACACCTTTTTTCAAGATGGATATAAAAGCAAGAATATTTTTTTCATGAGCTCTTGGGAACAAACTCGACGCACTTAGAATGCAACCCGCACAAAACAAGCCTGCAATAGCTTGGCATGACATGGGAATGGATGTCACGATATTACGTTAGGTTACGAATACCTTCAGCAGGTAGGCAAAAATCTCCTCATCACTCGTCACATGCTCTGATGAAGGCACCCCCACTCGGTTGACGATTGTGTACACGACCTCCTCATAGAGCAAGTCCAGCTGTATGGAGAGGCGGGGCACACAGAATTGCGACACTTAAGACCCACATTCTGATGTACCGTTTTTCTTCTTTCTGTCATTGCAATTTCAAGTGTGAGGCAAGTGAAACAGCGGAGCTAACAAACCTCCACCCTGCTGGTTCTGTCCTGGATAAAGGCCTGGTCCACATGTTCTTGTGGTGGTGGCACGGTGCAGGCTCCTCTTTGGCTCTGCCATGGGATCAGTCATGAGGAAAACTTTATAATCAACTTATCGAGGAGGACATTATGCGCGCTTTCTTTACATGTGACAATACAAGCAATTGCCGCGACGACGCAACTGCGCTGAAAGGTTCGCTACTCTGATCATCCACTGCAAACATGTTCATGTACTCGGAAGAAACTGAGCGCGAAGCTGTTGCTGAACTGTAAGCAATCATGATGCCACGTTTGGGTGATGACAAACTCTTTGTCAAGATGCTGATAAATCATCAATGCGCTGTTAAGACTGGAGGTGAAACATCACCGCTGACGGCAGCTCGTCAGTGACCAACTTCCAAAACAAACGCTGGCCCCGTCTGTTCACAGACGTCACGGGCTGCGGCGCTGCCCACTCGCACTCCTTAGCTTGCTTGGTGTCGTTGGCCTGCGAACAGATGTAAAGGTGCAAGTCGGGCGAGAGGTTACCTCAGCCTGGCTGGCCTGCAACATGTTCTCCTGTTTCTGCAGAATGGTATTCATACGCTCAAAGAACTCCATGCTCTCTTCGGAGATCCTGCCAAGTAAACGAGGAGAAAAAAAAAACCAAAAAACGTGTTGATGAATGGGGTGTTTAGAATGACCGTAGTCTTTTTGGATTTTGAGCAGATTGGCTTCCTTTTACCCAACGTTGGGTTCATTGTTTTGACCCAGCAGGGTTGAAGATTGGATGTGGGCAAATCACGGTCAGAGCGACTCGCTGCGGACATTCCTGAGGTCCTCCAAGTTGCCTTGGTCTTGTCGTCCTTTTTGGATTCAACTTTACTTCCAAGCATGCTATGTTTCCTAGCCGTCTATCCAATACTGTACCCTGGTAATGTTGTAAAACCATCTGATGTGTAGGATTCGACTCGGGCATCTGTCAAAGAATGTTTGAAATGTTCGCGAGATCTTTTCCCAGTGCGTCACTTTTCATGTTGTTTTGTTTTGTGTTGAGCACTTCAAAGACAGCGTATGCCTGTGAAGTGTTAACAGCAAAACAACAAGCTCCCCTAATTGGTTTTGCCTTGATCTGTGGCGAAAAATACGATTTTTTTCTTTCTCTTTTAATGAAACCCACATGCCAGAAAGTCGAGCAATGATCCAAAGACTGGTTTGGAGCTTCTTCGATCACAATCTCTGCCCAATAAGACTTCCCAAAAAAAAAAAGAGTCGGGTGACTTGGAATCAGTCCTTAATTCGCTTAAACCAGGAGTGTCAAGCTCAATTTTTGTCATGGGCCACATTTTAGTTCCTGTTTCCCTTGGAGGGCTGTTATCACTGAAACCCAATAATATAAATAAATGTCAATAATGATGGTTTCTTCATCTATTGTTTAAGTTACTGTAATAAGGGGTTTGATAACAAGAAAATGCTGACAATATTTCTCTTATTGATCACATATGATAAAATTTTAAATTTTGGTCGAGATTTGAGCAAGCATCATGGAAGTTGACATGTTTGATTTGCCTTTGCGGGCCACATAAAATGATGTGACGGGCCAGATCTGGCCCCTGGGCCTTGAGTTTGACACCTGTGGCTTAAACTATTAAAATATGTTACTATTCAGTCCACAGTGTTAAACTGCACCCTAATGTCTATTGGACTAAATGTAGTCTGATGATTCTCATGACAGATGAAACTGGGCTCCACTGATGTGCTCCACCATGGCTGCTCTCTGGAATCTATTTTAATCAAATGAGCACAGCTGTGTGCAAAAATGCAAATCATCTTTTTTTTTTTCCCCCCCCAGTATTTATTCCGGATTTGAGAGAATTCCCGGACTCCCACAGGCCTCTCGGTCGTCATGGTGATCCACGGTGGCACTTTTCGAAAGCAGAGGGGGAATATATGGATAGAGTAGGAAGCTCCGGCACCTTGGGAATCCCACTTGCAAACCCTTTCCAAATCTCTCTCTCTCTCTAACGCTCTCTCCCCGGCATCTTTCCACCACCCCGCCGACCTGGATGGAAATCACCTCTGATCTGCGCAGCGGCAGAGCGGTGGGGATCAGCCCTTTTCCCCGAATCGCTTGCCACTCACCACTTTCCCATTTCCCTCCTCATATTACGCTGCGGTCAAGCCAGTCTATGTGAGGGCCCCCGTCACGCACTCTTTTATTGGCGTCATCGCATCGCAGCGGGCGTGTGGCAGCGCCATCCTCATCGCCACCCGCCGACTCTCGCCATGGCGGGGGGGAGCAGATGGTAAACCCCTGAGGTATTGATGAAGACTAATGGCAGCCATGCTGGGAGAGCTGGTCGAGCTCCTGCCACTTGGCCAAAAAAAAAAAAAAGTGGACTTGTTGGGCTAAACTAGCGGAAATATTTGACTGCTTAACCGGGTTAGAGTTAAAATCCGTGGAAATATTCCCGCAGATGGATGTTGGTTCATTGGAGTGTAGCTAGAATGAGTGAGTCTTACAAAAGGATTGCAAATGTGGTATTACAGTTTTTGTGGGGTTTTGTTTTTGCGATACAAATGAGCTCCACTCCATCATCTTCCTCGCGCTTTGAGACCCTCAATTCCCTCCACATCCGTTCTTAATTGTCGTGGGCATTGTAGTGAGCAGAAATCTGTTCGGTCTTCTGTCAGTCTTACTGTCGGAGGCATTTGGCAAAACATTGTCGAATCTTTTAATCCCAGCTTTTGGGAAAAAAAAACTTTTTTTTTTTTATTTTTTTAAATAATGCCTGATCTGACACAATGAAGTAAACACACTTGGATAATCATTCTTGTTCACGTCACCAGAAAAAGAAAAGTGGCTTGATGTTGCTAGGAAACAGGTTCTCATGTTGTTTTGAGTCAAATGTATTTCCCTGAATTCATTCCAATGCTTCAATTACATTTTTTTTTTCCCGCCGTCTGGGCTAGCGCGGAGATGGGAAGCAAACACGAAGAAGACGGGTTATTGAAAAAGCAGAGGTGACAAGCGGCCACTCGTTTTTCAAACGTCAACATCATGTGGCAGCACGTAAACAGCAATTACTCATGCGCGCATCACTGTCGGCGAGAGCATGAAAGACCATGCGATGCCTTCCAATCCGACATCATGCTTGTTATTTTTATTTTTTTTTTTTTAGTTATAAAGAAATCCGATTGTCACATGCTTGTCACTTGCGTCGGATCATCTCCGCAGGAGAATGTGCGTGACAAGAACCAACGCAATACCCTCGACAATTTCGACACGTTGGTGCTCTAATGACATCATTGATTAGGCAAGAAGGGGTGTCTGATAGAAGACAGAATCTGCCTTTTCCTTCAGTGGCACTAGCCAAAAAGAAAAGGGGAACCGTACCCCTAAAATAACGAGGACTGACTCAGCGTTGAAATGTTAAATCACTTTAGTGGGCCGCTTCTTTCCCCTCTATGGAGGTCCGCGCTCCCGGTGTGGTGATCCTCTGTGCGGGCACTGATTAAAAAGCAGTGACACAGAGCTGGCAAACCTGCTAATGAGATCGCGGCAAAGCAGAAACGCAAAGTGTGAAGTCCACCTCTGCCGACCGGAAACTGATTGTCGCATCCCAATGCAATTAGTGCACACACGCACACAAAACTACATTTTCCCCCCCAAACAGAAATGATCGACCTGCTGGTCTCCATTGTCAGTGAAAGCCTCAGTGCAAGTGTGTGTATGTGTGTGTGCGTGTGTGTGTGTACAGCGGTGTGAAGGGCTAACATAGATCAGCAGCCTGCATCTAATGACGAGCTCTCAGTATACATGCACGGCGGGGGCTCGGTGGGGAGGCTTTAACACCAAGGAGCCCGCATGGGAAATGAAGAATGACATGCACCGTAGTGACAGTTCAGAAGACTATTTAAAGGAGTAACCTACCTCCCCCATCCCCACAAAAAAAAAGAATTATAGCGGAGCTTATTGGATTAGGCATTTATTAAAATATTTAATCAGAGTGATACGCGAGGAGATAAACGGGTTGTGCGCAGCACCCGAGGTCGCCTTCCGGGTTAAAAATAAACACGGGCGTCATTACAAGGGAAGTTCACGTCGAGGCAGCAAAGCCTGGGTTTATGTTGCTATGGTTACCCCAGGTTCATACTATTAGTTGTTTTTTTTTTTTTTTGCTGCAGATGAGGCTTCAAAACAAGACTGAACTGGTGGTGGGGGGGGGGGGGGGGGGGGGGAATTTCACCTGTGTCGCTTGATTTGTTGCTACGAGACAAGCACATGGCAAACTTACATTCAATCGAAATGCAAGACAAAGATAAACAAGGGCTGTGTGAGTTTTCGCACGTATTCGCGCCATACAATACATTGCATATGCGATACTTGACATTGACAAACAAAGACCTATTCTTGCATTTCCTTACTTGGCGTCTGAGGGCGTTTGTTTACTTAACCGCAGAGAGCGCTAGGCAACCGTGAGGAGTAATGCGTTTGTTTTGTACCAATGTAGCAGACGTTTTTTTCTCGTGCTAATATTAGAATGATTCCAATACTGTACTCTGAAATACCGATATGTGTTGCGGAAAAGAGATGTCAATTTACGATTCAACGTCTTTAGCATTCCTTCAAATGGCGCAACACGCCCGTTGATCAAGTGGCGTAAGGCGTCAAATGGGGGTAAGGCATCCATTAGAGCGTAAATCTTATTGTTCGTGTTGTGGCATTTTTTTTTTTTTTAAAGTGGCCCATCACACCCAGCGATGAATTTGTGTTGACGCGTCCGTCAAAGCCGAAAAAAATTGGGGGTGTGGCATCAACCATATTTACTGAAGTGGCATGACACGTGGCAAAGAGTCCATGTGAGCCGACCTCACTACATTTGCAGTGCGGCATCTGTTCATTCAAGAGGCTTGACATGGATTAAAAACACTGATAGGAAACACAGTAAAATAAAGACAATCATGTATACATGCTATTGTATGATTTTGTTGTCCGTTGAATCCATATTGAACGTGAAGGCCACGATCCCCGAGATTTGAGATGAATTTCACACATCGATACAAACAATACATTTAGGAACAGCAGTGGGCTCGCTGCACCTCAGAACCGCGTGGTGTGAAGGTACACGAAGGCATTTGCAAAGCTATTGAAGCCTGACGGTGTGATGCTACATTGTGATATTATGCTTGATGAGTGCAACGGCGAGTCCGGAGATTGAGAATGAACACCAGCTGCGTTTGAAGAACAATATGGGTGGTTGTGAAGGTGGGGCTGGCTGGTTAAAAACAAATCAGAGGAAGCCTGTCTGTGACTCTTCGTCCTACTCGAGTATGTACAAAAAAAAAAAAAAGGCAGTTGCACAAACTATCACAGATGAAAGAAATTGTCTTGTGTGTGTGTGTGTGTGTGTGTGTGTGTGTGTGTGTCAACTTCTGCATTCAACGTTTATTGCACTGGGGGACTTATTGCCTTGCATATTATCTTCTTTCAATAATTCTCATTTATAATCTATAATTGGATGTATTATTTACTGGATACTTTATGGGATGGAGTTAATATTGTTATACTTTAATGTTTAGCACTGTATTTAGTTTTTAAAAATTTCATTCATCAATAATAATGTATTTATTTGTTTAGTTATTTCAAAACCTTTATTTGTCTCATAATGGATCAATTCCCAATTCACAGCAGCAAAGTTATGAAAGGAAGAAGTAGAAGAACGAAATATAGGAGCTGCTGTAAAGGCAGCCACTCTCGCGGCGCCATCTTGAAGTCAAAATAACAAAATAATACAACACAACACAGAAGACACAGACCGTCGTTCAATCTTAACCACTTTTCTGCCTCCTCTTTGTTGTATGAAGCAGTTACAGATTTAATTGTTATACTTTTAATGTAATTTAAAATAGAGCACATGTATCAAGTATCGACAAAAGTGAGCAGTTTGGGAGTCGAATTTGCCGATGAGGGATTATGAATGTATCAAAAATATAATTGCAAATGTTTTTGTGACAACCTTATGATTTTTTTTCACTCCAAAAAAATAATAATAATAAAATAATTGTGTGCATCCGCGCTTGACTCACCTTCGGGATAAGGGCTCTGGGCAGTGGCTGAGAGGGCTGCCGGCAGCGGGCGGCGATTCCCTACGGCTCCTCAACGACTGGCTCCTTTGCACCTGCCGCAAGACGCTACTCTTCAGGTCCAGCAGCGTGGTCATGGCGCTACACTGCCGGCCCCCCCAAAAGACAAGGAGGGTGACAAAGAATTCAGGGGGTTTGTCTCAGTTTTTTTTTTCTTTAGGTAGTTTTTATTGTAATTTATTTTTCAAAAAGGCTTTTTTTTTGGTTGTTTTTTTGTTTTTATTCGTTTTAGCTTTTTTTTTTTTTTTTTTTTTTTTTTAATATATGGAGTCTTTGTGTAATAAAACACGGTCATCATTTTTCGATATGGACGTATAGCAACACCGAAATAATTTTAAAAGGAACCCTGAAAGCTCGTGATATTGGCAAAGACGAAAAAAAAAGGACATTTCGGACAGAAGTAACCGAAGGACGATCCTGTGTCTGGATTGCGAGTTCACACATCCAAGGAAGCCGCACACAATGAATGCATGACAAGCGTAATGACAACTGCTTTCAACACAAAGAAAGGGCCATGGGCAGTGACTCTGTTCCACCTCTCGATAGCGCCTCGGAATACGGCAAATTCGCGGGTCCACTTCAACTGCTTCGGTGTCAAACAAACACGAAGGTCAGAAAAGTGGGGAAAAAGCCGGCCAGCGTGTCTCATTAGTTGGTCGTCATCGCCATGGCAACCTCCGACTGCAGTTGAACCCCTCCCCTCGTTGCCAGATCTCACATCGAGCCGTGAACATCCGTCGGAGGTGTTGGCCAAAACGCTTGATTGACAGTCATGCTCATTTAGGTTATTGTCGAAAGAAATCATCCGGACGTTGAAATCAATTTCTCTGAGACACCTGGAGGAGGTGCGCGTTTCATGGCACACCTTTTGGGGCTTCAAACGAAATGCTACGACAATCAGGAACGGGGATTTGATGACATTTGTTTGATCAATTTGGTGTTCGGGTTGGTCTACCTGGCTGTTGCTGATGCTTTTTTCGTTTTTTTTTTTTTCTTAATAAACCTAATGAGAACACTTGCTCTGTGTGAATTAAAACATCTGTAAGTGTCCTTCATTTGTTCACTTTGACTTTGTGTCACAGGCGACTTTCTTACAATGAGTTGGAATTTAAATGGGACATTTTATGGCAATGTGGCTTTTTAATTGCTCGTGTACAAACAGTTGAGCCTCGGGAGTGCCGGCCCACCTATCAAGTGGGAAAGTAAAACAACCAAGTCAATCACTTGGCACTGCCAATATCAGAAAATGTGCCTGTGAGCGAGCCTGTGTCACATGCTTCAGCCGTGCTCCCTAAATTGGCAAGTAAAAATCGGTGCCTTGAGGATGAAGTACTGCCTCCGCATATGAAAATACAGTTTTTGCGTTTACCGTCGTTTTGGGCTCTTGCTTTATTTTCATTTTTTTGATCCTTGAGTACTTTTGACCAAAGCAGATGTCATACATGTAACTGACAAATACTTCTAAAATTGCACAATCTTGCGATACTGCGCCAACAGTATAAACGTGACGCATTAAAATGGATTGCGCAACGTAGAATAGATGCTATATTTTGATAAAAGCAGACATTCTCAGCAGTCGCTTGTCACGTCCACTTTCATTCCACTTCGAGGTTGCCTTTGTCGACTAACAGAGTTATGTCACCTTCATAACATGGCAGCTTTCTGCAGAGAAGATTCAAATAAAGTCAGATGGATTTAATGAAAGCGAGCGGCGCAAGGCAGCTAGCGCACGGCGGGTTTTCCTCGCAATATCAACAAACAATATTCAATATAAATCAGATCAAGTTGGCCTAAATCGACCCCTCCCCACCCCATCCCCCCATTTACTATAAGTGACCATTTACTCTAAAGTGATAATGTATAATGCAATATCAACAAACAATATTTAATAAATCAGATCAAGTTGGCCTAAATCGACCCCCCCACCCTATCCCCCCCATTTACTATAAGTGACCATTTACTCTAAAGTGATAATGTATAATCCCTGGGCCACTTGATGGGATTATCCGAGCATCTCCTCATTTTATTAGCATTTAATCATTTTAATATCAACAGAAGGTTGAGGGTCTATAAATACCCGCATCTTATAACCCACATTACGCATTACTTTGCTGATACCTTATCACGTTTACTGTAACTTGATGGTCGCATTTGCTTCATTCATTCATTATAATCTCTTCCGATAAATGTCACTTGGGGGGGCGGGGGTGATTCTGCTGGAGATACCCTCGAGACGGCCACCATTCATTTCAGACAGACCAAAGCTGGATTTAAATTAGATGCTTGTAAGTGTCACAATTATGATTTTTTTTTTTTTCCTTTCAAGTGGTACAACTGAGAAGTAAGTCGTAGCGGCGCAAAGAGGAATAAAAAAAGAAAAAGAAAATAAAGATCGTACAGACCAAAATTATTGGTCATCAAATCGCAACGTAGTAAAATGCGATTGTGAAATCGGAAATGCTGAAATTTGGCAAAAAAAATAAATTAATTACAAAAAATTTAAATGTTATTTAATTATTTTATAGCAGTTTATTTTCATGCCAATTAATTTATGGCTAGTGTTTATTTAAAAAAATACGTGGGACTTCACAAAAAAAAACAAAAAACAATCGCACATTAAACCACAATCGCGATATTGAAGTGTTACGAAAAGAGACACTCCCCCCTGCAAATTTTGTGATTTTCAGCTTTTCGTGGGAATCGGGCAATAGGACCTGCAGTGTAAATCCAGCCCAAGTGAGTTTTTGCTACATCCGCACGTCTCGCGAAGCCCTTTGTGTGTGGTTGCAAATCAAGAGAGGTGAGGAAGAGCCAGCTCACAAAGGACGGCTGACAAGATGCACAAGAGAACCCGAGTGATTGATGGAGACGCCGTTCCACACAGTCAGCCCGGCTCGCCTGAACACTCTTTTAAAAAGTTGACAGGCCACGTCTGAGAAGCTCGGCGAGGCAGAGGTGCCTCGGGCGGGAGCGCTTCAAGCAGAACAATGGCAGCTGCTATTAGCCAAGTGTAATGAAGGACAATTAGCAGAATGGGAGTCTTGAGTGGACGTCGTTTTGAATTAATATCATTAACCCGATCGCTTTTGTCTGAATCGGATTAAGAGCAAAGTCATTCCCAGACTCAAAAGTTTTAAGATTAGCAGAGCGACAGAGGCAAATTAAGTTTCTAATAGCCAGAGGTGGCGGAAATTAAAAATCAATAGATCTTTGCTCCCGCTTTAGAATTCAGGACCTTTTAGGCATTCGGTCGTGAAAAAAACAAAATCTGGGTGTACTTCAAACACTCCAGAAAAGACGTTGCACACTCTGCAGTACAGCAGATTGCGTGAGCATAAGGCCTGATTTTAATTTTATCGTATTCATCTTCGCCATCAGTCTCGCAATATTATCAATACTGTCACAATGTCCCAATTCAACACATCAAAATAGGTGATAGACAGTTGAATATTTTGACGTCTGAAAGTTCTGTCTGGTATACAAACAGGAACATAAACAATAATAACAATGAATTACTCTAGCTAGCATATTTGACCAGCCTTCCGGATTAGTGGGCTTTGTTTCTTCGGTATGCCAAATTTTCTCTTTGTGTTCATCATGAAACAAAATAAGATTGGAATTTTTTTTTTTTTTTTTTTTAAATCACCCACAACTTAACAGGAGGGTTAAGATCTAAATGCTGGATAAATACATTTAGGAAGGCCACATTTTGTATTGATCCCATTCAATTTTGCCGGTGTAGCACAATACTTTGCGCACTGATTGTGAGCGCAACCGTGGAATTCATCAGACGAATCACAGACTCAGTCAGTCGTAAGGAAGTGAAAGATGCATCGGCGGACGAGATTTTATCGATCCACAACGCTGACATCTGGCAAACTCATCGAGTGTCCACTCCATTAGCCTCAAGTGTCGCGTCTTCCCTGCCACATATTTTCAATGGTTCATTTCAAATGCCTCCCGCTGAGAGAAAGAGTTGGAAAATTCCCCCGGTTTGGATCAAAGGCACGTTATCGAAATGCAAATCAACGGGGGGGCAAAAAAAGACCCACGGTAGGCACACAAGCAGAGTGGTCATAACTCATTTCCAATAGCGAAGAGATAGCTTACACGTGTCCAATTCCAATTCCATCACTTCAAATCTTATTTTGCGCTTGCAATGTCCTCATAACATGGTAAAAAAAAAAAAACTGATCTATTTTCGAAAGCCGGCTCCCCGAGTCATTCAACTACGCGGCCTGTGACAGGAACAGAATGTAGACAATCATAGAAGCACCTTGACTGACAAATAAGGAAATAGCAGTCAATAAAACACAATACGTCGTACCCAATGTCGGGTTCCCCAGACGCCGAGAAGTATTTTCCGAAACAAGTTTTTTTTTTTTCCTTGATCACAATACCGTTTTTCAATACTCATTAGAAACATCAGCGCACATAAGCGAGTTTCTGCTCTTTGTTTTGGAGGGATCATGTGTGATCCTGCAAAATTCTCAAATGTGAACCATTCCTTAGTCAACATTTCTTTTACTTTTCAATAAGCTCAACTATGCGTTTTGTTCACACTGACAATTTCAACATTATTTCCAAGCGGGAGCTCGGTTGGTGAGTAATGTGGCATCCAAGTGCATGTCCATTTTGCTGCCTCTCCGAGTGAAAAATGATGAGATGTTTTCAATGCTTCGCTGCGCCTAAGTCGTGATCGGCAGCTCACTTGGCGCCATCTCCGAGAGACCTCCCGAAGCGTGTCGCTGAAAGTGAAAATGTTGTCTTCGCTGCACTGAGGGTGGGGTCACACACACACACACACACACACACACACACACACACACACACACACACACACACACACACACACACTCCAGCAGGAAGCGGCACGTCGTTTGCAGCGTGGCCCGTGTTGACAGGCAACAGCGGCAAGCACCTGCCTCTCAGGTGAACTCATTTCAATTACAGCCGGGGACCTCTCCCAACAGGATTTCACTCTGTGGTGACAAAACGGGCCTCACTAGTAGCGATCGGGGAGTGGAGTGGGGGGGTGTTGTGGGCGAGGGAGGGGATTTCAGCAGCTGCCAGGGGGAACGAAGTCAAGGCCAAGTAAATGCCTTTCTCCCAATGTCGGTGCCAACGGCATGCCAGGGGAAACGCTCGCTCGCCAGTGTCTCTTCTTTGTGAGCCAATGAGCCTGGCAGGCAAAGGCGCCTTGCTGAGTGTCTCTATGGTAATGGCAGAGGGAAGGGAGCTCGTAAATACAGGTAAATGGAATTTCACAAAAGGGCCAGCAGAGCCTTGATGTCCTAATGGGCTCGCCTTAACGCAGCCAAACGTACACGCAGTTGGACATGTGGCCGCCCTCTCGAGGGCTTGTAAGATGAAGGAGATACAAGAAGAGAGACCCATGAGGTGACTTTTTATGCCCGGGTGGTTTCGAGCAGATTCTAAACACAGTTGAAGGAGCCATTAATAGCGTAGCGGTTCGATTTGGATCGAGTCTCAGTCACTGACTCATTCGAAATCTTCCGGCGATTGACTGGTGACCACTCCATGGGGTGGCCACACGGTCCCTGGCATGAAAACGAGCAGATCGCATCGTGCAAAAACTTTAATCTGCTTTCTAAATATCAGATCAGCATGTCCAAAAAAAATTAAAATCGTTTAAATGGATCTCCGCTGAATCCTCCTTTCACGCCGAGAGACAATGAACCATCAATTCAATTTGGAGAGCTTGAAGAGACAAGTGGATCAAAGTGACAGCTCTGTGACACTAACCTCGGATAAACACAAAAAGCTTCTGCCCATAGATAGCATGATGTCTCTGCACATTGTAATAAGTTTTAAAATTTCAGAGACAACACACAGGATGAGGAAAAGGGTTCTTACTGCTCTTACAGTATAGTGCGTGGGAGACTCAAAATGACCAACACGCACGTAACCATGTCCACATGAGGGCTGAGCAATTTTGAAAAATAATCTAATCACAATTTTTGTAATTCCGATATTGCAATAGGAATTTAATACCTGTTGTTGGAGCAAATCTGGGAGAGAATATCACACGTACCCTAACACCACCATAATCACTTTGGATAATCTTTCAGAGACGACTGTCAGGTAACGACCAATCACAGCTCGGCTTGCAAGCATCACACGACCAAACTCAAAAACAAATGAGTCGCGATTGGCCATTACCTGAGCAACTGTGATGTCATTTTCGGTTGACAGCAAGGGACAAAATGGCCACCCCGTGAGATGCATAAAAACAAGAGAATTTTCTTACTTCATTCATTCTCTACAAACGCAATATGAATCAGAATACCATGTTTGGACTGGTGGGGGCACACAGTACATATTGAAAAGAAAATTTGGGGGTTTGACTTCCCCTTTAAGATCTGAGAGAGAAATCCAGTCAGTCACTCTATTCCCAAAAGCTCCTGGTGGCTCTTGTCAATGCACCTGAAAGCCGAATTGGCCGGGCCATTGATCCGGCGCGGAAAATCCAGTGGAACTGAGAGCTTTTACATGCCGTGTCTGCACCTTCGCCAAACAGGGAGACACCCTACCGTTTGTGCGACGACAACATGGCCTCAGTTCGCCTCATACACTCACTCACTACAAGCACTTTCGAAATAACTCAGCCATTACAGTAAAAGAAAAGGAGACAAAGGCGCTCACCCATGCTGTAATTAAAGGCGTATGAGCAATATTGTTACGGTGCCTCTTTGAGTGCCAACGAGAACAAAGCACTATCCGCCACTATAACGCTGATGCTCAATATGATCAAAAGGTTGACGGTGATTAATTCACAACTAATTGCTGCGTGGGGTTGAGTCTAAAACCGAGTCAGCCGGCTTCTGAAGGAAAGAGGACAAAGTTAGACATCGGAGGATATTTTTAGGTATGGAGATTTCAGACATTTGCACATATGTTGCGCTGTGTTGCAAACCGTTGCTTCCTCTCACTCTGAGGCTCTCTGCTAGACTATCAGTGCTGCTTTCAACCCGTATTCTGAAATTATTGGCCACAATTCAAAACACATGGGTGCAGTTTTTGTGTCTGAAAAACTGCTGCTCTGACCTCCCCTGACCAAATAATAACACGTCTCCCATGGCAACTTGGTGCCATAGTTCTGTTGTATTATTTTTATTTTATTTTCACTGTTCTGGAAAGCGCTTTGTTGTAGCTGCAGCTGTTGTGAAAGTGCTATATAAATAAAGATGCATTGTATTGTATATAACCTGGACCTATATCTAAATTGTAAGAAAATAATGACAGTGGGATAAGAGTTTACATTTCCCAAACCTGAATACATAAAGAATGTCATACATGAAAGGGAAAGCTTGTGCTCCTGATTTGGAAAAAAAAAAAAACAGCAAAAGAAAAAAAAATCGGCATTTTAATTTCATGGCAGGTTTTACATCACCTTAGTGTGTCTAACTCAAAATAAATGTAACTTTTTTGTCATTGTGGCAAGATCAACAAAAAAAAGTGATATCTTCCCGATATTAGGGCTTGAACTTTCTCTTGTCAAACACAGGCATTCATATTTTATCGTACCTGAACTTTAGCCCCCTTTTAATAGATATGTTAATTTTAACAGCTCAACAGGTGTCAATCGACAAAGCTCGCAAGTGATGTGAGTCAGAACAACAGAAAAAAAATGAATATTTTGACACAAAATGCTCCAAATAAAAATAAAAGCAGTCGTTCGCGCTATTAATTAAACGACGAGACGTCCAGCTTGGCTTACCTGTGTGTCTCCTCCGGGCAGTTATCCGCTCTCAACAATTGTTTTGTCGCCGCGACTCAGAGTTGCTCTCCGCGGAACTACCACTCGGCTCGGGCGTGTGATCAACTTGCCAGTGAGGCTTTGGATGTTTTTCTTGTGACAGGCGACAGAGAAACGCTCATTTTTAGACCTTCGAGACGCTTTGGCAAGCTCATGTTTTCCCCATATGAGCTACCAAATATGGTCACAGGAAGCGTGATGGTCAATTCAAGTCCCTCAAAGAGTGTAGGAAATATCATAATTATAATTCATTCGAAAAATAAGATTTATGAAAACTACAGTAGCCTTTTTATAACGTCTTGGAGACGAAGATGTTTTGCCAATTCAGTTGTATTTAAGTTTTTGTGTTGTTTTAAACCACAAAATTCAAACGTTGCCATTCTTTTTTTTTGGCCTTAAATATTGAATTATTTGTGTTTGTGTTTTTCTAATAGATTTACTATCATTAAATTATAATCAGATGTGTGTTTTCTATAAACATATGTTGGGCAAAAAACAACCAAAAATAGAAAAAAATTAAATGCCTAAATTACGTCACCCACATCTTGCACCTGAACGCATCACTCGACTGTTGCTGAGGGATGGCTCTGAGAGGATTTTTCTCCTCTCACAAGGCAGCAGGTGCAGGTCTTGGATCAGTCACAGTGGCTTCCATGTAATTCAACTTTCTTATGCCCTTTAACTTGTCAAAACTTCCATTCTGCCACCAATTTGAGGCATAAAAATACTTTTTTGTCAGGAGTCTAATAAGGACTCTTAAAAAGGTCGTTGGGTCTGTGCTCGGCCTTGAAGAGCCTGACAGTTGTCCTCTGTGAATCTGGCTTGAAATAATTATGACAGAACTTTATCTCACGTTAACCTCCATTCCCTCATTTTTAACTGTTGGCATAATGGAAGATCAATTAACATTTAGCTAATAACCAGGAAATGTCACTTCCTGTGATGCTGCTGATATTAAACTACCAAATTAGCTTACATCAATGTAACTCTGCACAGCATATGCCAATCCAGTAAAGCAGATGGCACGCACTCACATTACAGTACGTGCTTTATAAGGCATATTTATCACCTTAATGTTTGCGCGTAAGAACACACAAGCTTGTGCAGAAACGCTTTAAATAGATACAAGGATGTAATTATATGCCGGCAGGCGATAGGTGCCTCACTTCTTGCACAAAATATGATATTCTTAAATGCTTTTTCATGGCAGACTCAAAAAGTGTGTAGCTCAGAGCTATATTATTATACAACATGCTTGCTAATACATCACAGCAACCTCAGTAGTGGGGATGACATTAGAACAATCTGACTGGTCAATGGATCAGGGCTTTCCGCAAATAATGGCCTCTGTCTGCTCTACTAAATGCCGTGCCTCGGTTCATCGGTCGGTACTTTGTCAATGAATGACCCTTGTATGTTTTCTCTGTCAGTCAGTTAGCAGACACCGCTGTGTTCATCTCTGCCCTCAAAAAATGCCTTACTTCAAATAAATGCTTGGTACTCTATGTAGTTGATTCAACAAATAGCACCAGAAACTATGTCAGGAAATAGAAAATAAGACGCATACAGTTGTACTAGTCAGTTTAATCAGTGTTCTGTGGTATTTAAACTTCCGGTTGGCGCTGTCAGCCAGAATGAGTGAAAGTTACCATGAATTTTTCAAACTATATGTAAAAATGATTTCATCCATCCATTTTCTATGGCACTTGTCCTCACTGGGGTTATGAGTGCTTTGGGAGAGAGTCGTCCGGGATCCACCTTGGACTGGTTGCTGGCCAGTCGCATTATAAAAAACATGATTTCATTTCATTAAGAAAAAAGTAACAACGTTGACATTTTCAAAACAATTACAAGAGTGTTCATTGCACATTCAACTGAATTATAGGGCCTGTTAACAATTTCAAATCAATTCACCATTAGTCTCCTCATTTAATGAAACCCAAAACCTCAGGTGTATCGCCATTGGTTGCTTGTCGCATTTAAGACCTCCTCAACTGTGTGGCACTTGCTCGCCATGGCAAGGCCAGTCTGAGCTGTGATTGACAGGTGGCCCCGTAGAGGGAGAACCACCCGAGGACTCATTTGGGTGGAAAACAAAACAATTGACGTCCCATTTAAATTTTGCCACGTTTTGACATTATCCCAGGCAAAATAACAAAAAACAGGAGAACCCCCGCCACCACCTCCCCGCACCCATCGCCTTGTTTCCATGGACACGTCATGAGAGAAGTTCCCCAGCTGGCTCCCTCTGCCTGCTTGAATACCAAGTGAAGAGGTTATTTATACGACCTGATCTCATGCGCAGGCTCTTTAATTGCTCGCCACTAATTATTTTAATAATCTATCGTGGTTTGAATGATTGCAACCTGATGAATGCCGAACCGTCATGTCACCATAAAATGACGCAGTACCCTTTCTTGTGTTGTGGAACAATCCTACAGTATCCATCTATTTTAGCGCTTCTCCTCACTAGAGTGAGTTGGAGCCTCACCCAGCTAACTTTCGCATGGCACATTTAGACGAGCAACCATTCACACTCACAGTCACACCTATGAAAAATTTTGAGTCTTCAATTAGCCGAACAGGCAAGTTTGAGTTTTTTTTGGATGTGAGAAGAAGCTGTACCTTGAGGAAAACCCACGCAAGACCAGAACAAAGATTCAAAGAGCAGAAATATACAAAATATATTGTTAAATAGTACACAGTCAGGTTGCTAACTGAATCATGCTATGTGATTTGCTCATAATAGTCAGACATGTCCACCCTGTGATCATCCACCTGGTCAGCAAGCTCACATCTTTTCATATTTGCATGTACAGTGTCTGATTGCAAAAAAAAAAGAAGATTCCATTTATTCAGTCAATACATATTGCTCCTCTCTACTTTTTATTAAACTTCGCACTCAATCAGGTGGCGTTTGTTTTTTAACCTGCGTGCTTATTGCGCCACCCACAGGTATAGTAGAGAACTGCACACTTCAGCGCACATACCCTCCCGACTTTCTGTCACTGGTGTTAGTTTTTCGCCCGAGCGATAGGGGGCAGTACATCCACGTCTAACTCCTTGCCGGTTGACTGCCAAAACAAACAACAAAGCGAAGAAGAAACAGAAGGCATTCGACTCTTTGGCACCCATTTACAAACTTTCCTTCCAAATATGCAAACAATGTTCAAATAATTGCACATTTGACATGCTCTCTACATGGAATGTCACAACGCGCTCGCCATGGCGGACAATGGCTCCTTTTTGGACCTGGACCTTTCGGCTGAACAAGACCGGTGACGTTTTTTTCGGCCCCTGTTTGTGCAGCTAGCGTTAGCCACATCAGCTAACACTAGCGCTCGGCGACCGAAACGCAAGCCGGAGTTGGTTCGTCGTTATGCGGCACTCGACCGCAAAGTGAGGCGACTCCGGACGGAGCACGCAGTCGCCAACCCGGACGCAACGAACGAGCGCGCCGGTTGTTCTAATTTTACCAGGGTGGTCTTAAAGTTATCGGTATGTTATTTAACAAGTGTGGCGAGAGACTGTAGTTACAATGTTATACCTGGCGATGGGTTAGTTAACTCTGGTCGGGATTATTTCAACGATGTAGAGTCGGCGGACAGCAGCCGCTGAAGGTCCCCCTTGACTCGAGCTAAAGGGGTGAGGGTACAATCATGTCGTGCAAAGCCGCCACCAAGGACAAGAAGACCAGCTTCGGCAAAAAGCTCTTCAGGCGAGGCTCGGTGCGCTCCGTGGGTAGCTTTATGAGCAGAGTCCTGAGGACGCTCACAGCCTTGTCCCACTTTGGTTCCGAAGTGCAAACCGACGACGACAAGGATGACGGCGGCTTCTCCGCCTTTCACTCCGGACTTAAGGACGCACCCTTGGACGACGGAGACCTCGGGGGGTTCCTCTCAGGCGAGAGGATTCCTGGCGTGGCTGGCTTGAAGAACCATGGCAACACCTGCTTCATGAATGCTATTCTGCAGTGCCTCAGCAACACGGAGCTGTTTGCCGAGTATCTCGTCCTGGAGCACTACAGGGAAGGCGAGGCGAACCAGGAGAATAAACCAAAGACAAATGGCATCCATCTGCAGAATAAAGCTTCCATGGCCAAGGGGGAAGTGACAGAGCAGCTGTCTGGACTTGTTCGGGCTTTATGGACTTTTGAGTACACCCCTCAGCACAGCCGAGACTTTAAGGTAAGGCCGAAACACAGGAGGAGCACTAAAAGGTCAGCGGACTCCAACCACAAAAGTTTGCAAGTCTTTGTGCATTCAAATAAGCTTTACAAATAGACATATTTACACCCCCCCCCCACCACCACAATTTAAAACAGGTCCCAGTTGTGTTAATAACATCAAAATACCGCTGATCTGCTTGATTCCAAACATGACTAAAACGCATGCCGAACGCCCGTTGCAGAACGCGGTGTCCAAAAACGCCACGCAGTTTAAAGGGAACGCTCAGCACGACGCCCAAGAGTTCCTGCTGTGGTTGTTGGACCGAGTGCACGAGGACCTCAACACCGTCAGCCCCATCGGCAGGCCAACCATGAGGGTGAGGTTTTGACACAGTCCTTGAATGTGACATAATGTTTCTGTAAACGCCTACTGCGCCTGCATTATTTATGATTTTTGGTTCTGCCGTCATCATAACCCGTTTGCGCTTGTTCAGCCACCTATCGACGAAGATGACCAAAACGCGGAGGGACCCTCCCCGCCCCTCTCGGCTGGCTCGTTTGTTCAGGAGCTTTTCCAGGCTCAGTACAGGTAAATGTCTGCTACATTCTTTGTCCTGCGTCTACAGTATGAGTTGACTCCTAGTTATTCTTTTTGCAGGTCTTCCCTCACCTGCCCCCATTGCCAAAAACAGAGCAATACCTTTGACCCTTTTCTGTGCATCTCCTTACCCATCCCGCTGCCACACACACGGTAAGTGGACAAACGGAGGTGTAAAAGTTGTGCTATTTTAGTATCCCACGATGCATCTTGATAAATAGTGACAATGGTCACTAGATGAGCAATGTATCCCATGATGCCTTGTGCACCCAAAAGGAGAGAGACGAGGTTTTCACGCGTCCGCCTCTTGTAAAGAAAAAACTGTCAAGCAGTTTTTAAATATTTCAAACAAGGTTACACCTTTCAGAAGCTGCGAGAAACATTTTCTTTTTATTTAATGTCTGAACTGCTGTGTCAATTTTTCATTTAATGTTTTTCAAAAGGTGATATCTACAGTTCATCTTTTTTATTTGATATGTTCCTTCGGCAGTATTATTTTGAGTTAATATAAAATATTTTCAGTTACATATTTTGGCATCGAAGGTACCACAGCTTTTATGGACTTTTTTTTTTCCCACTTCAGTATGTGTATCGAGGTACTTAATACTGGTAGAGTGTTAAAGTCTGAATTTTGGTATTGTGATAACACGACTGCTGTATACGATCTACTTTATGAACATCACGATATAGTGATGAGGCTGTAGGGAACGAGTGAATAATTCCAAAACACGGGCGAACTGTAATTATGACTTTACTACTGCGTGACGTTAGCGATAGACTATGGTCCGTTCGGATTTTGGTACAAGTTTGGCTTCATGCGTCGGACAGAACCACCTTTAAAAATAAATTCACGTATTTTGTTTGCCAGGCCGCTATACATCACAGTGGTCTACCAGGGGAAATACTCTCACTGTCTGCGGATTGGGGTGGCCGTGCCCCTTAACAGCACCGTGTACCGCCTCCGAGATGCTGTGTCGCACGAGACCAAAATGCCAATGGACCAGGTGGTTACTTCTTGACAGCCAAATCGAATCCCCCTTGGGACTTTTACACATACTTACTTGCTTGTTTCTTGTAGTTCATTCTGACCGAGATGTATTACGACGGCTTCCATCGTTCCTTTTGCGACGACGACGATGATCTGGATATCATCCAAGAGAGTGACTCCATCTTTGCCTTTGAGACACCGGAAACATTTAAACTGGAGAACCTACGCACAAAAAGAGGTAACTCGCACAACACTTGGGTTAAATGCTGGATTATTATTGCACGTTTCAAGTGAAATAATAATCAAAAATAATAAGCAAGTAAAAAAAAAAAACAGACACACATTGATTTGGATCAGATAGTTTAAATCCAGCCTCAGCTAAATAATGACTTTGTTCAGGAAGTCTTCTGGCCAACCTGAATCACAACAACTTGAAGTACGGCGTGGAAAACAGCCGCACGCCGTCTTTCATGCAGGGGGCCTTGACTCCCGTGGCATCCCCAAGTAAGAACCTGGCGCCGGAGAAAATGATCCTGCTAGTTTGCAACAGAGCCTGCACCGGCCACCAAGCAAAAAGGTAAACCTACCATCTGCGCCGTGACGCTACCGTGGCTTCAAAAGTGCACTTATGTATCGAAAGGTATCAAAATAACACTTGACCCAACAGACGATGCGTTGATTTTGTTGTTTCAGGTTTGGCTTGCCTTTTGTACTGTACATAGAGCGCACGGCCAACTGGGACACACTGCAGAAGGAGATTTTGGAAAAAATGCGGCATCTTTTGCGACCTGGAGTTTACATTCAGGTAGGAAATGAAACGAAATGATTTTTATGTGGTCTCTTTGGGTTTTTTTTTTTTTTTAATTTAATAGATGCATTGTGGAGCTTTGTGAAACAATCTCCACGCACAGGTGGGGCCTTTCAGTCTCCGTGTGGTTGGTGTGGTTGGGATCACCTACCTCCTCCCTCAAGACGAGCGACCGCTGTGTCACCCCACGGTGGACAGGTGAGTCGTACTCTTTGGCTTCTCCTATTTCACATCAAGAAAAACACTTATCCATCAATCACACCCCGCAAGAAGCATCCTGTTTATCGTCTCGCAGCACGATTTGGTGACATGCCCTAGCATGTCTTTTAAAATGCCAGTATAACACGTTTTTGTTTTTTTTCTTTTCTTTCCTGGCCTACATAAAGCAAGCCAGAACACAACACACGCACAAAAATGCATCAGTCAAAAAGCGTAGCTGATTTTTAACTTTTTTTTTTTTTGTCCTTAGGGGATCTGTCATGATAAATATGGTGAACTTTGAGAAATTGCAGAGTTTGGTTTGTTTGAATGCACAACTTTGCACTCACTCGTGTCATTTCACCATCTGCGATATGGTGGTGGGGTGTTTTCTTTGCGGGGGGGGGGGGGGGTGTTTCAGAGCATACAAATCCTGCGGACAGGGTGGACCGCCCCATGTGAAAATTGTGGTGGAGTGGGACAAAGCGACCAAAGACTAGTAAGTGGCGTCTCTTTTGTCATCCGCGTGATAAAAGTTCCATTTGACTCAAGAACAGCATATTTCTCAGAACTACTTTGGTACGAGTACGCTTACAAATTGCGGTCAAGAGGTCGAATATGTCTGTTACTATGGAGACGTTGGAATATGAAATTCACTGGCATCATGAAAGGCCTTTTCTCATCGGCGGAAAGCTGCCAAGTAATAAAGCAAATATTAATTAGATTCTGCCAGGTTTTGTCATGTCTGAACTTAATTAAACACAAAACACCACAAGCCAATGGACGTTTTTTTCTTTTTAACCGCAGTTTGTTCGGACACACGGAGGAGGAGTACATCCCTGACGCTGAGAGCGTGTACCTGCACAGAGAACAGCACCACCAGCCGCAGGCCTGCACGCTGGCTCAGTGTTTCCAGCTTTACACGAAAGAGGAGCAGGTGAACCCTGAGGATAGGCACAAGAAATCCATCAGTCACATGTTTGGATGAAGCGAAATTTGTTCAGTCAAAACATCGAGATTAACGCGAGCCGCAATTAATTCGGACCCAACCTACGTTCAGTAATCGGAAAGACAAAAAAAAAAAAAAACAGTCCAATGAACTACAGTTAGTATGCCTCTAACTCGGCAAGTCTGTGCTTGTGCTGTATAACATTTTTGTAACCTCGAAATGTCGCATATGAAGATCATCGTAAGCCGAGCAGCACGTGTATAGGGAAAGAAATAAAAAATGTCCCCAATATCTGATCACCGTGTCTCCATTTTGCTCAGTGCGTGTCAATCGGGATATTTTCTCCCGTGTTTATCTCGGTGCTCATTCTGACACAAAATAACAGAGTCTGCAACTCTCTGCGGTTTTGCTGTCTTTTTAATTCCGAATGGTACGTTCGGACTAAACCAGACACCAGAAGTGAGGACCAAGATAAACATTGTGGCTCCACTCGCCTCAGGAAAAAAAAAAAAATCCAGCGCTTTATTTTTATTTATTTTAAAGTCGGCTTGTCCTTGATGGCTGACCCTCGAGTTCTCGTGTGTTTCAGCTGGCCCCGGATGACGCCTGGCGCTGCCCACATTGCAAACAGCTGCAACAGGGCCGCATCAAACTCAGCCTGTGGACGCTGCCGGATGTGCTCATACTGCACCTCAAGCGGTTCAGACAGGTGAAGTTTGGAAATTTTTGTTTTGCATATTTTGTGTTGGTCGCTTCTGCGCGTCTTCGGTAAATAGCGAACAGTTCACGAGACAAGATGCAAAGTGTTCATTCTTTCAACTGAACATTTGTCACAGGAGGGCGACCGCAGGGTGAAGATGCAGAACATGGTGAGATTCCCTCTCATGGGCATGGACATGGCGCCTCACGTGGTGAAAAGAAGCCAGAGCAGCTGGAGCCTACCCTCGCACTGGTCACCGTGGAGAAGACCCTACGGTCTGGGGAGGAACCCAGACGACTTCCTGTACGACCTCTACGCCGTGTGTAACCATCACGGGGGCATGCACGGGGGCCACTACACGGGTAACGCCGACATTACGAGTCATTACGAGCGGCAGCATTTTTTTTTTTTTTAAGCAACATTTCCTCGTGTGCGCTCGCAAGCCTGCTGCAAGAACTCCGTCGACGGTCAGTGGTACTGCTTTGACGACAGCGAGGTCGCACCCGTGGCCGACGACGACGTGTGTCAACAGACGGCTTACATACTCTTCTACCAACGCAGGACCGCCATTCCCTCTTGGTCGGCCAACAGCTCCGTTGCAGGTCAGTCCGTGGCAGATTATTTGATTGAAAGTGGGATTTGTTTCCACTGGTCATCCTTGAGATGACTCTCCATCTTAATTCGATTCCGCCTGATTGAACATGATTTGGAAAGGCAACTTTGGACATTGCACGTCAGCACAAACCAACCGAGTCACTTCATCCATTTTAGAATTAGGCTGTTAAATAACGTGGGGCAAAAAAAGTGAAGCGCAGTGATTACTTCCTGGGTGGTCTGTACTTTTACTAAATGACTCTTGATGAACCATCTCACAGGCTCGACCAGTTCTTCTCTGTGCGACCACTGGATCAACAGGCTACCCGGGAGCAGACCTGCTAGTCTAGCGTCAGGCGCCTCATCTAGACGTACCTCACTGGCTTCGCTGGCGGAGTCGGTGGAATTCACCGCAGAGCGGAGCGAAGACGACGGTGAGGCCGAGCCTCAGTTTACCTTCATTTACCGTATTTTCCACACTAAAAAGGCGCACTGGATTATGAGGCGCACCTTCGATGAATGGCCTATTTTGTAATTTTTTTCATATATTGGACGCATTATAAGACGCAATCTACAAGGCATCCACTAGATGGAGCTACGCTGAAGGAAATGCCAACGTAACACTACAGTACACTACACTCTGATTTATATAGCGACGATCAGATGTCAGTAAAACTTATTTAATAAAGCAGCGACACAGTTCACTTAACCAACAGCAAGTTATAACTGACTTGTTGAACTCCCGGTTTCAACTGCGAAACCGATCGCCTTAAGTTTGAACTCTGCGTTGTGAGCATGTCTCTAGCGAGGAGCCGTTTTGGGGTTGACATATTACCGTAATGACCATATACAAGGCGCATCGGATTTTAAGGCGTGCTGTGAGCTTTTAAGAAAATGGAAGGCTTTTAGGTGCACCGTTTAGTGCGGACAATACGGTAATCTCTCGAGACAAAAAGAGCCTAGCACAAGACTGTGTCACTTAAAGCGGACTTGTGTACAAATAGTTGAGTATCTAGAGTGCCTGCCCACCTATTAAATGTAAAATTAAAACAAAACAAATAAATCTGGGGCTAATTTCTGCAAGACAAGAAATGGTAGGTAAAAAGTATCCTGTAATTCTTGATGAAAGCACGTCACTGTATTAAGATACTTGGACTCAACCGTTTCAAGACTTTGGCCTCGCCTTTGCTTTGAATTGTTATAAATTTTTGTCTAAAGACAAAAAAAAAACAAGGCAAAACCTTGTGACATGATGGACTGCAATGAAGGGTCAAGGCGAGGTGGTTTCTCTACTCTGGCAAAAGCTCTGCTGCCGTGTCAGACTGAAACAGATGTTCGCCCGGGCCTGCTGTTTGCGGCTCACATAATGAGGGGCTCGCGCTGCAGACTGCTGCCTCAGCATATGTCCTTTCCGGGAGTGTATCGCCAGCACACACAACCTTGTGTAATTTACTATCACCAGTGTATAGCAACTGCCTGGGTAGTATTTGACTGAGTTCAATGAGCCGGAACATGCAGGCACAGTTAATTGAGGGCTGTCGTGTATGTATCCGTTATTTGCTCATTTATTTAAAGTAGCTATCAAAGTATTAAACAAAATAAAACATGCATTTTTTCCCACCCCACAATTTTAAACGTTTCCCAGTTCTTTTAATCACATCTTAGACAGATTTTTGTCAAACGACTCCAATGTTGAAGTATTATAACTTTCTTGGTTGTTTAATTTTACTCTCGATGGGTGGGCAGGCACTGGAAAAATCTAACCAGAGACCGAAATAAATAGCCCTTAAAATGGCCATGTGGATTCATAAAAACATTTTCTTTATTGATTGACAGGATGTGTTTTTGAAATCTTTGTTTACTTTGAAGGCGGTTTCTCCGTTCGACCCTTCGTGAGGAGCATTCAGCGTCAGAGTACAACTTCGAGGTCGTCCGTAGCCAGCCCGTTAGCCTTCAGCGAGAGCGGCGTCAAACCCTCGTGGTCGCTCTCGGCCAAGCTGCAAATGCGCTCCAACTCTCCCTCGCGCTTCTCTCTGGACTCGCGTTGCTCGCCTCCCCTTGAGAGAATCGGCGAGTCCTGCGACGACCGCGTGTCCACGTCCTGCTTTGGCAGCTACAGCCGGCACGAGCGCTACTTTGGCGGCAAGACGCCGCTGTCCGTGATGGAGAGCGAGCAGGAAAACAACAAAAGATTCGTGGACATGATGTACTGCCGCACTCCCACCCCCGTGGAGAAGACGACGGAAAACAACAACCAGATTACAGCGATAGACCAAAACATTCAAAACGCCTCCTCGAAAGATCAGAAGCGTAAGAGCAGCGTTGGCGGTTTTGCGTCCAAGACGGAAAGCGCAAGCGCCACCAAAACCACCAAAGCGGAGCCAGGAAAAAGCTCCAAGAAGCGCCTGTGCTCAAGCCACAAGCCTTCGCCTTCGGAAACGCCCGCCAGCACACCTGTGAAAGGGAAAAAGGCGACCGCCACGAAAGATAAGAATGACAAGAAAAGCATGTCCACTCCCAGCGGGACGCCATCTAAAACCAAGGAGTCGCTCCCGCCCGCAGGCTCCACGCCGCAACATCGGCTGTGCGTCCGCTCCACGCCTCTATCGTCAGCATCGCCCTCTCCCACCACCAAGAAGAACCCCGACGTCCATGACAAACTGCCAGAGAACACTCGCAAGCGTCATGTGGAGAGGAGCTACAGTCGGGATTCTGTGGTCAGCGCTCAGCGAGCAGGCGTCGCGGCCCGCTCTTCCGGCCCCAAGCTGGCGGACAGCAGCCGGCCGGAGCGGAGGTCCGTGCGCAGCTCCAGCAGCAGCTCCTCCGTCACCAGCCTGCGCTCGCCCAGCGTGTCCGCCAGAGACCCCCAGCGTGGCAGTAAGTCCGAGGAGAAAGGCTTGTCCTTCTTCAAGAGCGCCCTGAGACAACGGGAAAGCCGCCGGTCGGCCGACTTGGGGAAGAGCACCCTGCTCTTCAAAAAGGCCTCGGAGAGGACGTGCAAGCAAAACGCTCAGGTCAAGGAGGCTTGCAACCAACAAGCAAAAGCGGCGGACGCCGCGGCTTTCCCGCCGCCCGCAGACGCTTCAAAATCGGAGCCCATCAAGCCCGCGAGCTCCCTTGGTCGCTCCCTGCTGCATGTCGGCAAGTCCAAGTCTTCCGCCGCGGACGTGAGTCTCAAGTCTCCCGCGAATGGGAAGAAGCCCCTCGAAAAGAAGACGTCTTCCCGGAAGCTGTCGTTGGGCACGCAGTAGCCTCGGTAACGCAGCCAACGTACGTACACCTCTGTCTAAATGCAGCTACTGTACATTCTTTGTGCCTACCTTCTACTCATAGCGATAAGTATTCAAACTTGACACACTCACGCACAAAAAAACAAACAAACATTTCACCCGATTGGGGAATTTAAATCCTAGCCAAGGCTGGATTTACACTGGGCGATAAGTATTCAAACTTGACACACTCGCACAAAAAAACAAACAAACATTTCACCCGATCGAGGAATTTAAATCCTAGCCAAGGCTGGATTTACACTGCAGGTCAATGTGCTCAATTCCCAATAAATGTCTTGCTCTGCACCCATCTTGTAGCATCTTGGCACCAAGAAACTATGTTGAAGAAAGATGAGGAGTTTCTACTGCATTTATATTGTTTTCCTGGTCGCCAAGGCACCCTATTTGCCCAAAATGTAGTGCACACAACACAGATCACTATGCTCCGGCCAATTGTTTGACTAGCCTTTGTTATCTTGTGGAACTACGTTGAGGTCAGCTGATGAGCTTCATTTTGATAAAATTTGTGTTTTGACACCTATTGCGGGCGTCTACAGAATGATGAACCTTTTTTTGCGGAGGCATTAGTTCGTTTTTCAATATTCTAGCAGGGTTTGGTCCAATCATTTTTGTTGTTTTTTTTTTTTTTTTTACAAGCATTTCAACTGACACATATCCAATATGGTTGTCTTTATAGTGACAGAATACAAGACACTGAAATTGCACATAATACAACAGTATGTAAATAACAAATAATAAACATTTCATCGCGTCTAGTTGACCGTGACTATTGAAGCTTATATGGACCATTTTTATTTGTCAATTTTTTTTTCTGTAGTTTAGATTTACAGCAGGTGTTTTTTAAAAACTTTGTTTGTGTTGTTTGGGTAGATGCAGGTATGTGTGTGTGTTTACCTCATTTCGATGATCTCGGGCCAGGGTGTATCCCATCTGTGGTCTTGTGCCGCATTCACTTTGACAGATATTTGATACATATCCGATTTTTGTCCACACGTAGAAGATTTTGGTTGATGTCGCATATCCTAATGGTGCCACATGAGAGCAGAAAAAAAGATCTTAGAGTTGTGTCACTGGAAGCATGCAGTGTAAACCCACACTCAATGAATGACCCCCCCCCACCCCACCCCCCAAATTGGCTTTCTCAATATAAATGTCATGCAAAGCTCTGGAGGAAAAAGCGCTTTGATTAAAAAAAAAAGGTCAGTGTAATTAACATATGAAAACCCACTGTAAAATAGTCCAATTTGTCCGCAAATTTTCTGATATTTAAACAGCTATTTTTGTTGAAATTTTGTGATAGAAACGTCTTTTATGAGCTTTTTTTTTTTTAACTTAAAAAAGATGTTTTGGAATGACACCCTTTTAAAAAAAATAATAATCATATATATTTCGTAGCTATAAATGCATCTATATAGAAAGTACAGTCTATAGTATGAAGTGTTTTTGTCTTTCCAAAAGGAAAACGATCATAAGCGCCTTTTCAACACTAATAACGCAAACCGATACTAGTCGACCCTTGTATGCATCATGGAGTAGGAATGTCGTATTGTTCTGCACTTTGTGAGTAGATGACTAGTTTCCTCTCCCTCCAGTAACTCACCGTAAGCGATAACACTAGAAACTTTTAACAACGTAACCTTTTGGCGGATCTTCTCAGCATCGTGTAGTTTCATGCCTTAGACTTATGACTAGAAGAAAAGGGAAGGGTACTTTCTCCACGTGGTGCTGATGACGAGACACCGCTCCACTCTGACTGCTCAATTTAAAAACAGAACTCAGAAGAACCCAGTAGGCAGCATCTCTCCTAACCTGTGGTACCTCTCTCTTTGTGTACTTTTTAAGATTTTCATCTGCCTGAAAAATGTCTATCGTGTTATCATTACATATTTGCTAATTTAAGACTTCATGGTGTAAATTAAAAAAAAAACAGACACAAAAATGTTCTCGTTACAACTCATTTACATTTCCACTTGCCTAACAGAACTTTTTTTTGTTGTAGTTTTTGAAAATCAAAAGACAAGTTTGTTTTTTTTATTTTTAACCGGCAACTGGCCGTCATTCGCTTCCATATTAACCTCGACACTCTGATGTGTATCCATATCATATCGCACTTTCACATCGACTATTTACGTGACTCTTCCCCCTTCTTAAACGCACGCATTGCTCTTTCAAAACGGCAATAAATTTGTCTTCCCGTCGTTTTCAAGTAGCATCACGTCGTCGCATTGGAGAAATAGTCATTGCAATTCGTAGGGATGTACGGAAGGCACGCATGTACAGTAAACGCTCAAGCATGCTTGTCATGAACTATGCAAATCTCGAGTGCTTGGGCACGCCGCCGAATATCACGCAGCTTCATTTGCACACCTCACGCACATCATCGCCATTCTTATATCGCCACTGTTTACTTTAGGCTCTCCGGGTGCTCCGATACAAAAATATATCTAGCCAACCAACCATCCATTTTTTAATCCGCTTATCCTCATGAGGGTGGCAGGCATGCTGGAATTTATCCCAGCTGTCTTCGGGCAGCAAGCGGGGTACACCCTGAACTTGTTGCCAGACGATCGCAGGCCACGCATAGTCGGACAACCATCCACGTTCACAATCACACGAGGGACAATTTAGAGTGTTCCATGAGCCTGCCATGCAGGTTTTTTGGAGTGTGGGAAGAAATCTGAATACCCGGAGAAAACCCACATAAGCACGGGGGAGAACATGCAAACTCCACACAGGAAGGCCGAAGCCAGAATTGAACTCTCTGCACTGTGAGGCGGACGTGCTATGCTAACCAGTCAACCACCGTCACAAAAAAAAAAAACAACGCACACGCAGTTGTACACCAGCAGGGCGCAACACTACGGCTGTGATGTTTGTTTCTAAAAATGTTTACCACATTGTGTATTTATGTCAGGCAATCAATAGTTCATGAGTAGTTTGTGCAGAAAAATGCAATAACCTCAGTAATACATTTCTAGTTTTGTACGATAGTATAACGCTCAACTGTGTAGAAATGATGGACGCGTGATCATTATGTCATACACTAAATGACAAAAGACCTGCTGGTAATATATACATAACTGAGAATGCTCTTTTTTTTTTTTTTTTACTTGCAGTGCATATATGAAATGTCGAAAGCCTTGAAAAAGTATCACATATACTGATTGTTTTGAGAAACCTTATTAACTAAGGAGCTGTAAAAGTGATTGAATGTCTGTTTTTATTAACTGCAATACATTTCCTTTGTTTCCATTTGTTGCTGTTGTTTTTAAAATAAACCAACTTCAATTTAGGACACTGAAACGCTGAATGAAAGCACAGCACGTCTAAGTTGTACTCTGTTAATAGATGTGTACAATCCACTTTTTACCAGTTTTTTTTTTAATTTTGTCATGCCAGTTTATTAAGGATAACGCAACAACTTGCAATAAATCCCCCCCGCCCCTGCCCTCACCAAGAGTGCTGTAATTTTTTTTTTCTCACACACGTAAGAAAAACCCGGCAAGTTTCAAAAAGCTGTTTTTTTACATTTCTACTTTTTTTCATATGCAGCAATGGGGGAGGGAAATGTCATTTTAAACATCACCCAAGTTTTCTGTGGCAATTTATTTTTATTGTGTATGCACTTTTCTATTTTTATTATTTCATCAAATGGACAATTATGTACATATATTGCTGGTTTACCATGTAAAATAGAAAAAATAAAAAAATATGACAAATGACGTCATTTTTGAACAAATGTTTTTGCACACACTCTAGAGGTCGCTGTTTTCTCAAAAATGTGCCACGGCATGACAACGTACAATAAAGCGCTTCCATTCCTGAATTGATTTAACATGAAAACACCGTACTATTAATACTCTTATTGTATTTTTGTCACCATTTCCACGTCACTTCTTGCCTCCTCTTGTCCTGCATAGTATGACCAAGGATCGATAATTATTGATGTTTGTGCGCAGGAAAAAGGAGCAGCTAAAGGTTGCGCAAAAGTCTCACAAAACGTTTCTTTCATCACTAGAAATGACTTTGAGGCACAACGGCTGAGAAGGGGACAATTGTTCGAAAACAGGAGCAAAAAGTGATGGAAAATTGCTTCTGCCTTCATTGTCTCTGATCAGGTGTCATATCATAATATGACCATGTAGAAACTGAACAGAACAGATAAAAAAAAAAAGACAGGCACACAGATGAGGATGTAGGAGCGTTTCATTTGTATCACAGAAAAGGAGAAGACAGGACAGACAGACACAGACTGACTGGAAGGAAAGTGGGATTTATGGTCAGAAGTACTGTAGTTTAATTTTTTCTATTTAAGTGGTTTTTGCGAAATTGCAAGCACATCGGAATTGAAATAAACGGAATGAAAAGGGGGAGAAAGGAGTGTTTGTTTTCTATAACTGGGTAAGACACGATCAGATCGGACAGTCTGAATTTTATCATAGGACAAATGCGTATGGACTATGAAAACGGAGCGTTTGATTTCTACCCCAAGAAAGGACACCAACGAATAGGACAATTTGAATTTTATTACAGGACAGATGCAAATGAACTGTGAGTAAGGGGTGTTTGATTTCTGTCACAGGACGCAAGCACACAGGAAGAGTGTCTAATGTCACAGGAAAAGGTTAGACAGGACAAATGGACAAAGAGAAAGGAGTCTTTGCTTTCGAAAACAGAACTGAGAGGAAGGACAGTTTGATTTCTGTCACAGGACATGACAAGATCACAGAGGACAGACACACATATGGTGACAAGGGACCGTTTGATTTCCTTCACGGGACAGGACAAGATACAGACGGAGAGGAAGGAACATTTGGTATGTATCACAGGACAAGACGCAGAGAGGAAGAAGCCTTTGATATCTCAAGTACGGCAGGGTCAATGCTGCTGACAGCTTTTGAAGATTGATAGTTGATGTGTCCCCCCCAAGTACTCACAAAGAAAGAAAGACGACATAACCAGTGCTGATCCACAGAACCAAAATGGAGGACGTTTTGTATCTCTTTAGTCATTATTGTCTGTCAGAAGTCAAGAATGTTTCATTTTATTTTCTTCTTTTTGCTGATTCTCTGCTGTCATTTCCTGTTGGCTTCTTTCAAAAGAGAGATGACTGATTT